GGGAAATTCGTGCGACATTTAACGTTAACATTGCGACATTTAACGGCAAACGATTTTGCAACATTTAGCGGCGGTTGCGACATTTAGCGGCAATGGTGCGACATTTAGCGACAAGTGCGACATTTAGCTGCGACATTTAACGGCGCCACATACATCTAACAGGTTAGAAAATCATTCTGTATACATTTGATACATTTACCAGCCTATAACTTTATCACAATAATAGCTGATCGTAAATATGTTCAAAATTGACATTTGTTAAAACAATGATTTTTTTCCATTCGTTTTTGTTTTTAAAAAAAATATTGGGTTGGTGTTTAGGTCTAGCAGGAATGTAAACTCCGGATCTATGGTATAAACCTGGTGATTATAAAAAGGATTACAATATAGAACATATAAACTGCTAAACTGAATATCCAGCTTTAATGAATATTCTACATTGAACAAATATGGCAACAAATTACTGTTAATGAGTATGGCACAAAATATCAAATAAATCGGTCTTCCAAAACAACATGTTGTCTTATAATAATGACTGGTTCTAGGCATTGAATATTTATTTGTCTATCAACTAACACACGTCAAATCCTATCATTATAAAAATGACCGTTTGACATTTGTATATACTTTGTTTTCGTATTCTTTGAATAAGGTCTGATTTGTAAAGCTAATACCACGAACAATAAAGTTCATTTCGATGTGATATAACTCTTATACAAATCAAAAATATACATCATCAGAAATGAGGTATGTGACTTCACAATCATATGAATGCGTTCATAGAAAAACGATGCCAATAAAAATCAATCTTGTTTTATGATATGATAATTAACCGAGTTTTTTTCTATTTCTAATACATAATAAAGAAACCTAGATAATTTACCGAGATTTATTTCTAAAATATGAGTGCACTTGTTACAGTTCGATTAAAAGGGAGATATAGTATTGTGGTTAATATTTCTACCTCTAAACTAAAGAATCTTTGGGTTGAGCCCTTATTGAGTCACGACCATGGTTACTTAATTATATCACACCAGCCCTTAGAACAAGGAAGTGGAACCCAAAGTGGTTCAAATAAACCTCAATCATTCAACACAGTCGAGCTAAAATAAATACCCATGTTTCTTCCTTTCGTGCCTGAAATAATCCACAGATGATCATCTTGGATGTTCCATAACAAGTCAACTGCCCTATGACCTTATCATTATTGAACCTTACAGAAAAAAATTTAACTTAAACCTCCACAGAGCGGTATCAACGCTCCTCTGTTTTAGAAGTCGACAATGAGGGCTATATAAGGAGATCTGTCAAGTATGGTTCTTTATTCATTGAGATTTAGATAAATCAATCAAAAAAGATTTTTTATGTGACACAAAAGGCAATAACTAAACGGTTAGGAAGTCAATAGTTACGAGTCTTGTCTACATACATATGAGCCGTGTCATGACAAAACCAACATAATGGGTTTGCGACCGGCATCGATCCAGACCAGCCTGCGCATCCGCGCAGTCTGATCAGGATCCATGCTGTTCGCTTACAAACCCTATTACAAGTAGAGAAACTGATAGCAAACAGCATGGATCCTGAACAGACTGCGTGAATGCGCAGGCTGGTCTGGATCCATGCTGGTCGCAAACCCATTATGTTGGTTTTGTCATGACACGGCTCAATTATGATGTTTCATGTCAATACATTAAATACATTTTTTGGTAATCAGAACTATTTAACTTTCAAACCACGCAGGCAGTCAGATAATAACAGTAGCTCGAAAAAGATTATCAAAATAGGTTTTCTGCTTCGAGATGAATAACTATGCAAAAGTTCAAAAACTACTAGTATCGAGGAAGATTCGTCATATATTTTGTAGAATTCTTGTTCAAACTGGTTAAAAACTAAAAATACAATCTATTTAACAGTGCTTTAAAATAAGTGACATTTTACCAATTTGCCAGTTTTATGTAGGCAACTTTAAAACACTTCAGAGTACAAAACGAATTTTTTGCAGTTTGTTCAAGGTTGACCCATATTTTAGGCTACATTGACTGGAGTCTGTCTGGCTTGGCTCTATTCTTGAGGAATAATTCTGGCTATATACTAATGGTATAATGAAGGCTGGTCTGGCTCTATTCTTGTGGTATAATTCTGGCTATATTCTAGTGGCATAATTAAGGCTGGCCTGGCTCTATTCTTGTGGTATAATTCTGGCTATATTCTAGTGGCATAATTAAGGCTGGCCTGGCTCTATTCTTGTGGTATAATTCTGGCTATATTCTAGTGGCATAATTAAGGCTGGCTTGGCTCTATTCTTGAGGCATAATTCTGGATGTATTCTAGTGGCATAATTAAGGCTGGCCTGGCTATATTCCAGTGGTATAATTAAGGCTGGTCTGGCTCTATTCTTGTGGTATAATTCTGGCTATATTCTAGTGGCATAATTAAGGCTGGCCTGGCTCTATTCTTGTGGTATAATTCTGGCTATATTCTAGTGGCATAATTAAGGCTGGCCTGGCCCTATTCTTGTGGTATAATTCTGGCTATATTCTAGTGGCATAATTAAGGCTGGCCTGGCCCTATTCTTGTGGTATAATTCTGGCTATATTCTTGTGGCATAATTAAGGCTGGCCTGGCTCTATTCTTGTGGTATAATTCTGGCTATATTCTAGTGGTATAATTAAGGCTGGCCTGACTCTATTCTTGTGGTATAATTCTGGCTATATTCTAGTGGCATAATTAAGGCTGGCCTGGCTCTATTCTTGTGGTATAATTCTGGTTATATTCTAGTGGCATAATTAAGGCTGGTCTGGCTCTATTCTTATGGTATAATTCTGGTTATATTCTAATGGCATAATTAAGGCTGGCCTGGCTCTATTCTTGTGGTATAATACAGGCTATTTTCTAGTGGCATAATTAAGGCTGGCCTCACTCTGTTCTTGTTGCATAATTCTGTATGTATTCTTGTGGCACATTTCGGGCTGGCCTGGCCATAATTCAGACTGGTTTGGCTCTATTCTTAAGGCATAACTCAATATGGCTTGGCTTAGTTCCTGTGGCATAGGTAGATCAACGCTAGCATTTCAATAAAAATAGGTAATTAAGAAATGGGATGCAACTATATAACACACAAATGTATAATTTTACAAATTTTATTATTTCTATTACGTACATGTTAATCTACTCTTGTACCAAAATGCAGTAATAAATAAATCTACTTTTAAACAAAAGTATATACACTGTACAATAACATTTATACACAATTCAGTTACACTTCCTTCCAAATATGGAAATGGAAAAAGGGTAGTTTAATGAAATACCTGTTGAGTTACAATTAGCCAAACATAATAAACATTTCATCTAAACTAAATTATCATATACGAATAGAACAGAATTCTAGGAATAATATTGAAGTATGGTCCCATTTCACTTTTGTTTTACATTTACACAGAATGACTAAAGTACAACAATTTATTATTTGGTCATTAGGCATTTTTATTTAAAAAAAAAAGTTATAAAAAAAAACTAACATATCCCAATCCGTAAATTCATATAATCAAACTTTATTAATAACGAAAAACCAGCATTAACATTTAACAACTTAACTTCAACGAACATTTTATTCCTGTTTTTGTACATATGATGGAACAAGAATTGACCATTGTGTACAATGAATCACAAGCTTTCAATAACATTCCTACAGTACCTTTACTGATTCACTAATACACATAATACATGTACATGTATATACCTTTACAGAACTTTCTCAAACAAAAAAAACAAAAACAATATTTCAGATGCATGGTTTTTGTTATTGTAAAGTTTAATATTTTATTTAAAAATTGAAACTTTAAAAATATACAAAACAAGCATAAGCTTTTTATAAAATAGTAATATACCAATGTTATAGTGATGTATAATATGTATATAAGCCTACTTGAATAATAAAAATATATGTTTAAATGAAATAGCAATATGCTCCATGGATAAATATATTTCTAAAATTTTCAACTATTTCAAAATTGAAACTTTAACCAAATTTTATTCCAATAAATAATTTTAAAATTTGATTATAATAAAATTTTGATGTAATATTTTAACAATTTCATGTTATGCTTACATGGAATGTAAGTAAACAGTGCAATATGTTAATTCTAAAATGTAAAAAAAAAACATCACCAGAAACACTGGGAAAAAAACAAACTTAAACTATACTAAACAATAAGAAATTTTCTTGCTTTTCTACATTAAATTTAATCATCTACATACTAAATAGTCTGTCACACTGCTAAAATAGTAAATTTATCAATTATAAAATTTCTAAATTGAAAAAAAGCATAAAGGACATCCATACATTTCTCATGACCTTACACCCAAACTTATGGATCTCTTGGTTTTCTAAATATGTTTAAACTTTTGAACTTGACCTCAGTCTTGCTTTATGACACACACACATGCATCTGGATTCTTTATCTAAATGATCCAAAATTAAACCATGTTCCATGATTCAAATCATACCATTTTCCCATGTGTCACATGTTTTTTCCGATGATTATGGTTTTCTCAATTTCCTCATCAGGTTTTTAACTGAACCCTAAATATGTCCAGTCTTGCATTATGACCTACATTCAAATACTATATACTCATGCACCTCGATTCTTTATCTAAATGATCCAAAATCAAATTATACAATATCATTTTTAATGATCCAAATATCATGACTCTGTCCATTGATTAATGAATTTTCTTCTGAAATAGATCTGCGTATTTCTACATTGTTTAGCTAGCCTTGATTATATGAGCCGCGTCATCACAAAACCAACATAATGGTTTTGCGACCAGCATGGATCCAGACCAGCCTGCGCATCCGCGCAGTCTGATCAGGATCCATGCTGTTCGCTATTATTTTCTCTACTTGTAAAAAGGTTGGTAAGAGAACAGCATGGATCCTGATCAGACTGCGCAGGCTGGTCTGGATCCATGCTGTTCACAAACAGACTATGTTGGTTTTGTCATGATGCTTCTAATATATAGTTTATATACAATGTAAATAATATCACATAAAGTTTCACATCTTGGTAAACTTCCTATTATATTAGTATACAAACTTTTGTTACATATGATATATATGTAAGAATGTAAACATATTTTAGCACATCTTTCTTCAATATCACCACTATGGCAGTGTTTTATTTTATCTACATCTAAACTAGTTAATTTTTTAAGTTCAGTACGCTTTACTCTTTGGGCGTATCATTTTATCTAATTGTGACTGCCCAAGAGCGGCAGCAAACTTTTTCACAATGTTTTCATATCCTCCTTTCACAGCAAGGTCATATGGTGACTCCCCTTTGTCATTCTTCATATTTTGGTCTGCTCCATTACTGAAATACAAATCAAGAATCCATACAGTATGTACATCAAAATGTAACACTTGTTAATAAATCACAACTTTATTTTTTAAAGCATACACAATTTTATGTACCAATGTTTCAACTAACATAATTATACATTGACTTAAAGGATGGCAGTCTCCACAAACAAATTCAAAGAAAAAATCCTAAAATGGAAGACAGATCAAATTAATCTCTTGACTTGCTCTTTGTGAACAAACATCACTGACCTGGATGTCTTAATACTATGAAGACAGCATAAACAATTGTTTATAGTAAAATAGGCCGCACGTGTTTAATCATAATATTAACAAAGATAAAATCAATTAAAATCCAACTGTCAATATTCATAAAGAAACTATAAAAAAAGTTTTGATTAGAGAATCTCGATCATTGTATAAAGTGGATTTGTTTGGCTAAGATACTACCAGCCAAAAGTACCAAGTGTAATCCAGCCTAGCAAGAACCACAAAAGTCCTATATAAGTACCAAATCATCATATTCTTTTTATGATATTTTCATGACTACTGCCTCATATTTCAACTTAAATGTATTTCTGAAGTAATGAAATAAAATTGAGCAACAACACAACAATTCACACTTGTATGTAATATATATGTATTTTTGTGTCTGTCAGGGTAGTATTTGTTAGAGCCTTGTTCTGAGGTAGAATATATACAAGTATATATAAAATCATGTATTGTGTTCACCATTCACATGCTGAATCTGGGTAATAGTTTATCTTGCTTTGAAGGAACTTTAATATGACAGCACAAAAAATAGAGTTACCAATAGTATAGAGCGTGGCAACACTATATGAATTTGCATGCAAAACTGGGTCAATACTAGTGGCCAAGAGCTCCAGCAGATTAAGGGTTATCAGATTCATTTATTGAATGAAAATTAATTGTATACACATGACAAGCAAATTGAGTCTTACCTTAATAATTCCTCAACAACCCTTGCATTTGAGGGTCCTACATTTACAGCTTCATGGAGGGCAGTGTTACCCTTACTGAAAAACAGAATATCAATAAAAGTTTATAACACTACTTTTTTTCTAATGATGTTAATTTGAAAATATTTTAAATAATATTTTGTTGGATATGAAATTTGTGGATTGACCTATCCACAAAAACCACAAAAAATAGTGCCCTGGAATAATTATAATGATTTTGCAGTAAGAAAAGGACTCCTGTAGGCTAGCTTATGCCTTTTAAAAACTGGACATAATAAAATGTAAATAGAAAAAAAACTCACATTGTAGAAGGTCCTTTCTTGTCCACATCAGCTCCAGATTTTACCAGAACAGATATACAATCTGCCCATTTATTTTTTGCTGCTATATGTAACGCTGGAATATTATTCTTATTTACACAATTTGGATCTGATCCCTGAAAATACATGAACATCAAACGTTTTATCATAAATTAAAGAAATGACAATGTCTGGTAAAAAATAATGAGTCTCAGCTGACCACAGGACAATTTCCCCCCTATTCTACCATTTTGTCAGTCTGTACAGTCTACGGACTGACAATGTGTATGCAAGACAGTGAGATGGGCATATGAGGGCAAACCTCCTCCTGCTAAGTTGGGGCTTAAAGAAAATTAGTTCCTCTGTCAAAGTTTAAGGCATTTTGCCATGAGACTTATACAACATGTTGAAATTTTACATAAAAACATTTATTGGGTCAGAAACAAGAACTGTCGGAGGACAGTATTGGCTCGACTATTCAAAAATTGTCACAAGGGTGTTTTATTGAGTATAATAATGCTAATTACCTATGGATACATAAAATTGACCGAAAAGGTACAAAGGCTTGTATTAAGATGTTTTATCAAGTAAATCACTGCTTTATTATTATGAATGCATAAAAATGTCCCAAAAAAGGCACAAACTCTTCAGTAGTTATGGAGATAACAGCTTACAAGCAAAACTTTACCATGAATTTCTAAGTTAAAGGGAGAAAAATCAGCCTAAATGCAAGATAGAATTATGGATCTTGGTCAGTGACCTACAATTATGATTCTAAATGCGTATGTGAAGTTTTAAATAAATATCTTTAATAGTTATTGAGATATGTAAAACTTGCATGTAAACATTAACCAAGAGACTAAGTAGAAAAGGGGAGATGAATCAGCCTAAATGCGAGTAGAGTTATGGAACTTGGTCAGTGACATACAGTTATGACTCTCCAATTATGACCCTAAGTACATGAGTAAAGTTTCAAGTAAATATCTTTGAAGACCTTTAACCTTTAACCAAAATTTCTAAGTTTCAAAGGGGCAAATAATTCTGCAAATATTGCAGGCAGAAGAGTTATTCAATTTTGCAAACTGATGTAAATTGTTACCATAAAAAAGTATTGTAAATTTCAATTGAATATCTCAAGCAATAATTGAGATATTTGACTTTACAAAAAAGATTTTAACCAAAATTTCTAAGTTATAAAGGGGCATAATTCTGTAAATATTATAGGCAGAGTTATCCAAGTTGTCAATCTGATGTACATTGTTACTATAAATAAGTATTGTAAGTTTCAATTGAATATCTCAATTAATAATTGAGATATTTGACCTTACAAAAAACTTTAACCAAATTTTCTAAGTTAAAAAGGGGCATAATACTGTAAATATTGTAGCAATTAAATATCTCAAGCAATAATTGAGATATTTGAATTTACAAAATACTTTAACCAACGCAGACGCCGACGCCCGGGCGACTACAATAGCTCTCATATTCTTCAAATAGTCAAGCTAAAAAACTAGTCATAATATGTTAATAGAATAGGTGAGGATGTGAATACAAGACTTTTCATTAAATGGAAATGATGACATTGTCAAATGGTCCTGACTCTTAAGTGAATTATATAAGAAGTTTTTTTTTAATATTTGAGAAACATTTCTATAATTAAGAAAATTCCAGTAAATTCAACCAATCAACTTCTTAGATGCATCTATATATAGGTAACAAAATAAGAGTTAGTTATATTAATTATATTCATGATATATAAGTCAATGAACACTATCTATATCACAACTTGAAATAAAAGCTGTGACTAAATATAGCCCTACATTGAAAATATAAAAATATTCTACTACTTATTGCTTAAGCTAGCTGGAATTGTCTTAACAATTTCACTAATGAGCTACTGTATCGGCTTTCAATATTATTTAAATTTTACACACAGGAAAGTATTGATATTTCTCATTCACCATGTTTTTTGTCTTACTGTATCAGTGCAGCATAATATAAAATCTCTCCTAATGGCTCACATAATAATTATATTCAGATTTCTCTGCAATTAGATGTTAGTTAATGAAGCAATATCACATACTGTAAGTTATCATCAAGGAATAATAAATACCCTTAATTCTGTAAGAGATGAAAACATTCCTTAATTCTAATACTTTAAAAACAACAAGTTTTATATGTTATTTCTATCTTAATGTTTCCTTGAAGCAAAAATTTGGTAATATGACCTTTTCAACTTGATTTGGCATACAACATATTATGTAAGATTAACTGAAAAATCGTAAAGTCAGATACTAAAAAAGATGAAACACTGAGAAACAGTAACAAATGTTGGATAGCGCTCCTTATGTTGTTTAGCCAAGCTATAAAGAATAATGATATTGTCACTTACAGTTAAAGCTTTGGTGATTTAGATAAAGATAATAAAAAACATCATCTTAGTAGTTTTAGAAATCTAGATACTAAAAGGAAGCATTTTCAACCACCAGGTGTCAAAAATACAAAATGATCAAAAGTTGTGCAGACTGTTTTAAGGTACATTTCATCTCATGGAAGCAAACATGTGCTTTCTTATCCATAGGGATACAATTTCAAGATTTTTTTTTTTTTCACATTCTATTGTCCAAGTAAAAATAGGAAGAACTACTGACAGACTATCCATCTAACATGTGAACACTTAATGATTTTTTTACTAACAAAATCTTAGAAGAGTCATAAACTATAATGGGATTGAAGTATTCAATTCAAAGCTAAAGTTTGTCAAGACAATGACAGAGGTCTGCATCATCAATGCTTCATTTTATAACAAAAACCATAAAAGACACAGATTCAGCTATAAAAATATAGATCTATGATTGTATTTTAATATATTAACCTCATCAATAAGTTGTTGAACCTCAGTAGGATCTCCCTCACCAGATGGTCCTATCTCTTTAAGTAGTAACTGGTCTTGTTTCTAGAAAAAAAATATGTTTAATACAATAGCAATATTTCAAAAGCACATGTGATTAGTTTTTTTTTTGCGAGATAAATACATAATTGGTATACACCTTCTGGCTTTTGTAACAACAATTTATAAAGTATGACAAGAAAATAAAATATTAAACTGTGTTTATACTTTCAACAATATTTCAACACTTCAGGCAAAACAGCCACATAAGGCAAAATTGCCACATTCCTTCATACCCATAAAAATTTTATTTGCATATTGATACATATAATGAAAAAAATCCTAAAATTCAAATTTTAAATCCAAATCTCTTCCAAATTCAAATTTAAAAACATTGTCGCTTATTGTGAACTTTTTCTTGTGAACAGGATAACTTAAATTGTTTGTTTAGCTATCTTGTTGATCAAACTTTAGGAAATGTACTTACTGAAACTCTCTTTACTGGTCTTTTCTTCTTGATGATCTTCTTTCCTCCTTTCTTGGGAGATTCCTCAATAATCTCATCATAATCTAACATAAACACAATAATCATAGAATTAAAATGTATTGGAGAATAAACATGGAGAAAAACTTTAAAAATAGAACACAAAAATATAAAAATTAAAAGAATTTAAATGAAGTTTATTTACCGTATGCAGAAGTTCAGAAGCAAGGCTGATGGGTATTTATCAAAGAAAGCTACAATATTTTATAGAAATGAATAAATGAAATAAAAGTAATTCACTAACCCAATCATTGCTAATACTTAAAGAATATAGAAAATACGTGTTTCCTAAAAAGAGTTCATTACAAAATTCAAACAATTTACCACAATATGACAACAAAATCAACCTATAGCTAACAAAATAAATATTATTTATTCCAGGAAACACACAAATCTACTTATACAAATAATAGCCATGATCAATATAAATCTAATAAATAACTAATTTAATTTTACCATCAGAGTCCGTCCTATATGTAGTCATATTGTCCTGCTCTGTGTGGAAACTAAGATAATCTCCGGTAATGCCCAACTTTTTCCCAGCAAACTTATCTTTACCACCTCTCAGGGCAAAGGTCACGGTCAAACTTAACTCATAGCCATCCTCCTGTACTGTTGATGTTAACAACTGTAACAAAAATATGATATGATGATGATATAGCTTACTATATACAAATATTTAACAGAATTGTCTCCCTTTTATATCTGACTTTATCTACAAATTGGTGTCACAATTTCAAGTATAAAAAGAAAAATCTGAAATTTGTTCAAAGTAAAACCAAAGTAATGCTTTAATATAGCAAGAGTAATTTACAGTAGGACAAGTAATTTTCATCTCTATTCTATTTTGTTTGCTTCTTTAACCTCTGAATAATTAAAGATGTTAATTACCTTGCCCATTTTTGGTTCTCCAATCAGTGCTCGAAACTCAGCATCATTCTGGGCATGAGCCTTTACATGTTGACATATATGCTCAACTTGTTTACGCCAGTAACCTGGAAAAAAACCAATGACTCTGTTAATATAGCATTCTTTGTCAATCCAAATAAAAGAAATACATGTAGTGTTTATATCTAGAATTTTCAGGTCTAGAGCACGCACTTTGTCATATAAATCTAGCAATCTTATCTCTAACATAGTAAGTATGCTTTATTTTCAAGTCATAAAAAATGACCTGCATTGTCATAACTATATATTGAACTCCAGTCAAACAATAACTGTCTTTAATCTGTTGACAATTATTTAAATCTGATATTTTTTCGCAATTTTAAAGAAATGCTTATCTTAAAAATGTCTTGACTCAAGACAACAAATCAAACTGTTTATACAAGCATTTCAAACCATCTCCAGGATCACCAGTCATATATCCTGCAGTATATTTCAGTGTATACATGACTGAATCTTACTTCAACTTCTAGATAACACCTAAAGATTTATTCTAGGAAATTACTTTATAATATAAACTGTAGCGCGGGAGTGAATTAAAGCCATTTACAGTATAAAAACAATATTACACTAGTGTTATAACACTTTGATGTGATGTCATTTTCATTATATATAAACATAGCATTGAAACGCGCTATGTTATCGTTACGCTATCGTTGCGTCAATGAAAATTAAATCTTTTTAACAGTTTCCTGTTCTTATTTTATATAAGTGATATTAGAATATTATATTCATGTAGTTTCAATACTAAATTTATTGAACTCATTGAATAAAACAATATTATGCTGGCCAAACTTAGTATTAAACATACACTCATTCAACATCTGCTATATATAATAAATTATTACCTTTTCCAGGACTGACAGCTGTTAACAGTGGTCTCCTGTCTCTCATTTGTCTCTCGTAAGCCAGCTTATCTTCTTCCTTCTCTTTCTCCTTCTCCATACCTCGTGTTGATGGATAGAACAATCCTACTGTCTGGGTGGCTATTGTGTTTGACGGTTTAGGTGGGGCACCAAGTGGGGTACTTACTGGTAACCACTGTGCCTGAGGTTATAAAATTACATATGTCATATATGTGTATCATTTATTGTAAAAGTTAAGGGTTGGTTTGTTAAATTCATTAACAAAGCCATGCAGAAAACTGCACATATACTTGTTTGTCCTACATAAAGATTTCTTGAAAAGGGTGAGAAATATCCATAAAATTTAAAACTTCCATGTATAAAACAGAAACTAATCACATCTCATATTCTTAATTGAAGATCAAGATGTTTAAAAATATGAGTCTTTGTTTTGAATATTATATATTATCAGTAAGTCAATGTCCTACCTCCCTATGGAATCCATTTCTACAAAAGAAAGAAAACAAAATGTAACATGCATGTATTGATTTGTTGTTGTTGTTTATATATTTTAATTATGTTTTTGTCCCCATTTTAGTGGTTCAAATAATGGCAATATTTTTAGTGTTATACACAAAATAATCAAGTTTTTCGTGACATTTTATTCTGTAATCTTAAATCTAAGAATTTCATAAAAAACAACTAAAAACAGATATAAAAAAAAAGATCTGTCATATAACACATTTAGTAATGTTCTTCTCATACAATTAGTTTTTTGCTAAAGTATTCTACAATACATTATCTTTCAATAAATCACATAAAAAATACTATTAAAGGGCATAAGAAATATCTTAAAGTTAGGTGGATTTTTTAAAAATGTATATAAATAATATCTTACAGAGAACTAACAACTGACGTAAAAATAAGTTATATTATAGAAATATGGACTTTTTAGCTAGTGAATATGATGTGATATTGACTGAAAATTATCGCCTCGGTCAACATTTACTTTTAGTACATATCATACCATATTCACTAGCTAACAAGTCAATATCTGTTTTATTACATAATTTTCTTACAATTCATCCACTCGATATGGGGCGTCAATCTTGACTCCACATGATCCGCAAAATGTTGCATAAGGATGGTTATTGGCACGGCACTTGGAACAAGTCAGCGCCGTGGCCGTCACTGCAGGCTATAAGAGAATACAAAAGTAATAAAAATAAAAATAACACAATTAATAGATAAGAACATATACACTAGTACAAATATCTTAACATTTATAAATTATTATTACAGGTACTAAGTAAAATGTTCAACAAAATATTGATTCTTCACAGTAAAATTATTTTTCATATTAAAAGTCTTAAGATTTTATATAATTCTATCATCTATATATAAATCAGTTGTACATTTATCCAGTGGTTATACTGATAAACATGCCAGAAACTCTATAAACAAACTCCCTGCATTTTTTGATACAATATTTAGCATGCTGTCAGTTTTAAATCTACAATGATGACATGCACCAATGAATTGTGCTTGTAAAACACACATGTAACATACTATCTAGATGAAGATCTATATGATTTAAAAACAGAAAATTATTGATAATTCATTTTTAAAGTTAAATTTAACATGCATATAATTTTATTTATTCCTTTTAAATGCTTGAAGCAATAAGGATTTGCCTATGCCTGAATGATATAGCCATGCCTGTCTGCACCTTCATACATTCACATCTGGCTACTTGACTTAGTATTTTTCCATATCCTAACCCCACACATTCACATTGGATAGTTCCAAATTCAAGGAAGGACAAGTCCATTATGAATATTTAGCAGGTACAGGATTAGAAAATGATACATTTTTTTATCTACCATGTAATGTGTCAATGTCTAAACCATGACTACTCTGAATAAGGAAATAGATTTGCCCAGCTGTTAATTTGGAACTGTCCATTTGTAGTTTAATGGATTTCAATGTCAATTAACTAAAATTGAGAAGCTAAAAGTATAGTATATGGTCAGTTTGAATGGATGTGAAGGCTGGCTGGCCTGGCTATATACTGGTATGATAGGCTTGTTATTAGCCCTAACATTCACCATTACTCCAAAAATATATCATTCATGAAATATAGCATGCTTTTTTATTTATGCACATATTGATAATTATTTTAATAAGTATGTCTAAATTATGAAGAATGCGGTAAAGTAATTTTTAATACATGCTTAATGCTTCAGCATACAGTTTCAAAATGCCAATAAAATAGCTAAAAGATGCTAAGTATCATATGAACTTACTTCTGTTCAGCGTTTTTTTACTTCCTATTGATACCAACCAATCAGTAAAAGTTCATATAAACTGGTATTAGAGATTCAAAAATAGAAAACTAAATATCAATATAAAATCAAATTTTTCATTCCAAAAACTTCTCCATTGTCTCCCTACAAAACGTGTGCCTTCTTTAAATTTACATGTACCTGTCAATTTTAACTACTCTTTGATTTCTATGACTTAAATTAGCTCTAAAAACATCATACCATCTTTTAGCTTAATATATTGGGCTTGATGTAAACATAAATAACATAATGTTATAAAGCACTAAATTTTAAACATAGTTATTACAACTTATATGGGCCGTGTCATGACAAAACCAACGTAAAGGGTTGCATCCACGCAGTCTGATCAGGATCCATGCTGTTCGCTTACAGACCCTATAACAAGTAAAGAAACTGCTAGCAAACAGCATGGATCCTGATCAGACTGCGCGGATGCTGGTCGCAAACACATTATGTTGGTTTTGTTGTGACGCGGCTCATATACTTTATACATTTATCGTCTAAATTTAGCATTCAAAACATTCTAGCCATTCCATAAGTAGTTAACAATATATAAATATGAACATTTATGTGAGTTGTCAAGGTAAAATGGACCACGGTAAATTTGTGAACCCTATCGTTTTTTCCCCCAATGATATAACATTCCATTTCCTTTTTTTTATTTCATAACTAGAATTATTATCAGTAACACTTATTGATGCCCTACAATTTTGTATTGACAAAGCTTAAACATGGCCTTAATATAAGAAGAAATGGGGAAATATCCATTCAAACTTTAAGTGACCTTGACTAAAGCAACAATATAGCTCAACCAAAGGTTGAGGTACTATGATTTAAGGAATCCATGTACCTACATATCTAAGAAATCCGTCAATAAAACTGCTAAAAGAAATGTATGCAAGATGAAAGGATGAAGGGAAAGATAAATGGCAATTATATGTTCCACCAAAACATTTTGAGGGCATTAAATACAAGCGTCACAATACTTCTTCCAATTTGAGCAATTTACCAAAGTTGTGGCACTTCTGTTAAATATTTTACAGGATTCTTTGCTTTGTATTGCCATGTTGTCACACAAAATAAAACTGAATCAGTTAACTTTAAAATATACTGTGGCAAAACTTTATTTTGTAGAGTTGCTCTAAAGGAAAATAGAAAAAATGCCTATAATGATAGTAGTGCATTTTTATTATAAGACAGATAAAACAAACATCTGGTCCATTTTACCATGATAAGTCACATTTAGTTAACATAGAACATGAGAACATGTAGACTATCATGCATAAATGTACACACCGCCCAGTCCTGTGGACATAAAAAATACAAAATTGACACAAAATTAGTGGTTCCTGAATAAACACCAAATATAGTCCCACACTGTAACTTCTTGGACTGATGGATTCACAATTATGTCAGTCATAAAGGATTCATAATTCAAATTATGTCAATCATAATGGATTCACAATTATGTCAATCATTAGTTATGGATAGTCAAAACCATGTAAAATCTATGGATTATTTCTGAATCCAAACTACATCCTACATTATCTGTTTTTTTTTTTTTGTTGTTGTTGTTTTTTGTTGTTATTGCTTTTTTGGGTTTTTTTATATTTGTTTTTCATTCATGCAGTTCCCAAAAATATAATAGTCTTTACTGAAAATATTCCACCAGTAATTAAACAAGAAGTAACAATCAAAGAGCTTCAAAGACATGTCACTAAGAATACTGCCATTTGAAAAACAGAAGGAAAATTGTCCAATATTTGGTTTAAAAAGTCTTTAAATCAATTTTTTGTATTTTGTATCAATGGATTAGGTAATATAATTTTCTAGTCATTTCTTTCAAGCTCCGACATACAATAAACCAAGACCAAAATGCACAGGACAAAAAGCACGCTGAGTTTTTTTTTTTTCGCAGATAGAAAAAAAAGACAAAAATTTCTTTCATTAGTACAAGTACCTTTAGGAGTTTCTCAATAACCTGAATCAGTCAATATTATATCTTAAAAACATTGTAAACAAATACATAACGCTCAAAAATACATAACAATCCAAGTTACAAAGTTAATAAAACTTAAAGGAAACCAGTCTCCATAACGGAGCTCTGCTATTGGTCAATTTCAAATCTGTATGATATCAACCAATCAGATGACAAGGCAAATTGGACTGGTACCAAAGTTGTTGTATAACTTAAAACCCTGCACATGTAGTTCAGATAGTTTGTAAAGTATCATAACAAACATCTTGAATTAATATTAATGAAAACCAATGAAAAATATACATATTATTAACAATAAATTTAGGAGATTAAAACCATCCACATTAAAAGCATTTTTCTTCAAGCTTCTCCTAGTTCTTGACATATGATGTGAATTATCAATAAACATGAAAATGATAAACAATTTTTTTATTCTCATGAAAAAAATCAACAAATGATATGCAATTTATAGTTCATCCACAACATTTTACATTCCCATCAACAAGAGCTGCCACTACCATAAAAGTTAAACATTAAATTAAAGTCTGTACAAAATTGATTTATGATAATTTGAAGTTATTATACATTGTTGAGTACAATACTAAATTCTATTGAAGTAACACAGCTGTCAACAAACTGACATGTACTAGAATCTGATTAACAGAGGTTGCAATGTTAAAGTCTAAATCATGTATTGTATTGGTTTTATTTAGATCTTCAAGTACATACATAACAGTCAATGCACACAAATACATATTGTTTCGAGTAAGAATTGTAGATGTACCTTAATGGGAACACAGCTGTCCAACCTATATTGACTGGTACCAAATTTTAATTACTAATATAGTTCAGTGTTTTGTATCTAACTAATTTTGAATTTATATATGAAAACAATAAGAATATAATTTTAACAATAAATTAGGATTAAAATCAATAAAGATTTTTTTCAAGGTTATACCACTACAATTGTTCATAAAATAATAACTGAAAATATAAAAATACTATGAAATAAGATCAACAAGATATCAATAAGTTCATAATCATTGCATTCCATCACAAGACTGCTGCTATGTAAACATAAACTTACTTACAAACTTGTGATTTAATAATTGACTATATACTTTGATACATTAATTCTCGAAGGAACACATGTCCAACCTTGACAAGGGGGCATCTGATATTTAATGAGCTGTGAAAGTTCAATAATATACAGTATTTCAACGAGATATTATTGACCCGTTTATATCACATCATCATTTTTTTCACATTTGACAACCTTTGTTTTTCATGAAGTACAATAAGGATTTAATAGAGATTTTTTGGACTCTGAAAATGAAATGAGGCTACACGGGATACAATATGCAATTGATATGGACTTTTTGGACTCTGGAAATGAAAAACGAGGCTAAATTGATAAGACTGGATATAACAATTATTTCTATTGGATCATCACATGGTGTAAACACATTGGTTATAATTTATAAGATGTGAAATAAAGGTTTATAATCACCTTGGCTCCACACCAGTCACAAAATCTGGCTTCTCCTCTGTTCACACGGTTACATTTTGTACATTTTAGATACTTCTTATCAAGGCCTGTGATAGGTGGGGCAGACTGTCCTATATATGCTGGCTGAAAAAAAATATAACAACAAACATACAGTATTTCAGAATATCTATTAATAGAAAATTATGATAATTTCAGGCTCAAGTGTAAGTACGGCTGGAAAAAAGTAAATGTTTACTATATCAAAACAATTATGATAAGAAAATTATGACTGCGAATTCTTGGATATCAAAATTCAAGTATGAATATCAAGCAAATATAAGGAATTATATATCAACATGTACAAGAAATACTGGTTGCAACAAGTAATTAAACACACCATAGAATTGTACATGGTTTTAAAGGAGTATTTTGTTTCATATACCATAATAAAAAATAATTGACTTTGCAGTATATGTAATTAAGATAGATGTATAGTTTAATTAAACACAGTTGCCTGTATAATAATTCCTTCATCAAAACATAAACATACCCTCATTTGAGCTGAAGTTGGTAGTTTTGTATCACAGGTTATACATTGAGAAAGGTTAGCCGGGTTTCCAGTGCCACACAGTGTGCATACAACCTTCTCTGCCAGTCTGATGCTGGCCTGGGGCTGGTTCTGGTTGGGGATTGGACCCTCACAGACAACACAGGTGGATGTGTTGAATGGCACCAAGGTCTTACAGTATACACATGTACCCATCTATAAAATACATAATACTTCATATAAAACATATAATTCATTGAAAAATATAAATTTTTGGAATGTAAAAGTTTCACAGTATTTAAATAACGTAATGTAATAGAGAGATCAAAACAAAAGGTAGCACTTTCAATTACAAATGTACCACTATTTTTCCTGTTTTATAAAAATCGAAACAAATGACACAGGTACTGGTAGTTCTGATAGAGCATAGGTACAAGGTACTTTAGAGCATAATTTTGTCAGTCATAGTCCAACAGTTTGCTGTCATTAGTTCAAATGACACCAAAAACAAACTTTCTCTGCATTGACCATTGTCACATATACATTTTATATGAATATTTGACAAAAGATTTTCACTAACTTATTCTTAGGATGATAAAAACAGATGGTTTATACACATTTTTTTTTGGTTTGACTGTGTGCGGAGCTATAAGCTTATAAACACACTTTCTAATCTGTTCCTGGAACCAAACCAGTACTGAGCAATGAGTGTAAAGTATCTTGCTTAAGGAAACAACGACTTGCCCCTGATTGGGTTTGATTTTGGTTGTTAGTTTTTGGGTTTTACATCACACCGACACAGTATAGGTCATTCGGCGACGTTCCAGCTTTACTGGTGGAGGAAGACCTCAAATGCCCTTCCGTGCACTATTTGAGGCACCTGAGTAGAACCACCGTCGTTCCGTAAGCTAGCTGGATTGATTCCTCACATGAAAGAACCCAAAGTCCCTTTTGGGATTCAAACCCACAGCGGTGAGGGGCAAGTGGTTTGAAGTCAACGACCTTAACCACTCGGCCACGGACGTCCCCGATTGGGTTTGAACCCATGTGACTAGAGATCATTAGATTACTAGTCTCATGTTATATCACTTGGCCATGCCGTCACTTTTAAAAACAGATTGGATGACACAAAATAACATCCTATAATCTTATGATATTTCATAGTTTTTATTTTTACCTGTCCAGGTTCAGGTGGCGGGATTCGTGTCTGAGGTATTGCTGCTACAGAATTACCACATGTATTACAGAATCTTGCGTAGGGATCTGAGGGCCGATCTGCAAAGCAATACACACACCTGGAAAAAAACAAAGTGTGTCAATAAACTGGATATGTCAACAAAATTTGGATGATTGTTTAGTCTAACTCTTAACAGAAAGAAGTCTGTGAATATCTAAATGTCATATAAATATACCTTAGAAATTAATTAAAATATTCACAAAACAAGATAGACTTTCACCTACAATATTAAGGCGATTTTTTGCATTTTTGCTAATTTTTGTTTTTGTCTGCATTCCAAATCAAATGTGTCTGTAGATGCTTAATATTTGACTTGGTATTACATGATTTATAAATGTCACTACGAAAGTGTCTCAAGTTAAAACTAGAAATATTTTTTTCAGAAAATATTTATGTAAACAACCTAAGGCTTTCTCCATTTTTCATGACCTTTATGGTGTTTATTTTTGCCTCAAAATGTTACAATTACTAAAATTTCAAATTCAGTTCATAGTACACCAAATCTACAATATCTCATTGTTCACATAGTATTGTGGACTGACTGGGTCACCACTGGCCTTATTATAACTGTAATTAAATAGTATTTAACGTAATAAATTACTTGAGAAAATCTGTTTCTCTCTGTAACCTCATAGCTTGTGTTGTATTATCTGGCAGGTGACGGTGCCTCGATGGGCTAGATGTACGTTCTGTACGATTTGACAATGGCTGAAATAAATACAAGTGCAACATTTTACATTCAAATGAAATGTTTGTGTATAATGCCAATATACTATCAAACCTTTGCTTATTGAATAAAAACATAATATAAAAAGACTTTTTACTAAAATTGCATTCCTTTAGTTTTACCATTTAAAAAAAAAAAGATAGCAAAGAAAGAATGAATAAATTCTTCATCTATTTATAGATTGAAATACAATTTTCAACAAACAAAAATTATATGTGATCAAATTAATAAAAGAGGGTTGTGAATATGATCAATGCTGCAACTTGACTATTTTTATTGCGAGCTATAAATAACTTTCTATCCTTAAACCTCATTTTCAGGTAAAACAGGTTCCTAATGCTTTTCATAACACACTTAGCATGGAATACATTTTTTTTTTCCCAATCATAATGTATATATCAATCAAGTCCTATATACAAACATATCAACATATATATCAAACAAATCATATACATTATGTCATTATATCACATTGCATAATGATTAAACAGTTAACACATATACACGTAATTAATAAGATTAATATCTTTATCATACATTTAGTTTACAAAAGGAAGAAAGTAAGAATAGAATACACAGTATAAGAGAAAGTGTAAACCAAATGTCTAAGACATCACTTACATAACTTCTATCCGGTGAACGGTCTTGTCTGGTGTTCAAAAACCGGGTTCCGGTTCCTGGCTGCCTGTAGTTACTTCCCTTTACATCCATGTCTGAAATAAAAAAACACATAATCAGCATTCCCCGACAGTGATTTAGCTTTCCAGAAAGTCATGTAAGAGCATAAATTAACTCCTATTAAATTCTAATATGTAAGAGTTAAACCTTTTCTGTCCTAAGGTGACAAATTATGAACTTGAAAAATGCATTATTACACAGCAAAACATTCAAAATTGACATTTTTTTCTTAAAAGAACTTTTGCTCTAAAAACTAGTATCTTTTAGTATATATGTAATAATATCAAGGAAATTTTTACATTACCTGCCATTCTATTGGTCATGTTTCTAGCTGTTGAAACATCAGTCCAAGCTGACCTTGAGGACATCATCAAGTTCTTCTGTGCTCTCTTCACATTTAACTGTAACATACATATGCATGATAATATTATAATGAATTATTCATAATTTATATAAATAATAAAAATGTTATATGTAAGTTCAAGTGTGTGTTAAGTTACATCTATATAAATTGTTTATTAAATGATTAAATTTTCATGAAATGTAAGTTTATCAAATACATAATTTAATATCACAAAATATTATACAAAAAAGCTACATGCTTTAAGTTTGATGAAAATATTTGACAAAAAAATACCTAATTAACAAAATTTCTTATAGCTATCAAATATGGCACTGGAAACATTACCTTCAATAACAATATTTCTTAAACACTGAGAATATAATTAAGAAGAGTTGTAACATTTCATACTTATGCAAAACTGTCTCAAAATCTGGTTCCATGTATGATTTTGGTTGTAATATAAATTTGGAAATCTTTCAGAGATATCTCAATATTTTCTTACTACTTGTTCCCTATCACATTCAAACAGTATTTGAGAAATAACAAATTTCAATATGAATGGATGAGCTTGCTACTTTAAAAGTAAGGTATTAAGAAATTTTGAATCAGCTTCTACCATTGTTTTCTCTTTTTCAAGGTCATCTCTAAACTCTAGGTCATCATCTTCTGGTGGCATGGCAGGCTGGGCCACATAGTCAACTTCAAATACCTTGGTTACAACATTAGACTCCCTAATACCATCTCTGAAAAATACAACATTTATCATAACTTTTTAAAAAATTAACATAATGTGATTGGTAGTGTCTCTTTCATTTTAGAGAATAATGTTTAATGTTACAATTTTTATGCAAAAATATCTCATCACTTTTCAATTTATTTTCTAACTGTAATATGCCAGACAGCACTTTTATACTTTTTTACCTACACTGTCAATGTGGTTGGAATATTGTTCAGTTTGGAACATATTTATATTGTGATGTCTATGGAAACTTTCAAGTTTTATTGCTGGAGGAAACCTCTAGAAAACTTTGCATTACTTATGGTACAAGCATTTTCCTGAAACACACATTCTTCATTTAGCATGTATTATTAATCAGTTCATCAAAAGAAAGAATTCACCAACCCTGCTGCCATTGAGTGGACAATATCTTGGCCAACATAAATATGCATATTCACTGTTTAAATAATGTAATAGTTCTAGTAAAACTTTTGATAGTACTTACGCTCCAACTGCCATTGCTTTCAAGGTTTGTTTACCAGCTGGTAATGTAAATGGTCCTTGATATTCCATCGTATATTTAGCTTGTCCAACCTTAGGGAATGGATCTGGTTTCGTCCCATTGATTGTGTAATAAATACGGGCCCCATTACTTTCTGTAAATATAGTACTTAAAAATTCATAAAATGGCTTTTATTCACAACTGAATTCTATTATACATGTTCAAATTACTCATTTCTGCAACATTTTTCATTCCACCATGATGGGTCATCTTGAAGGTTCTCCTTTTACTCATTTTTAGGAATTTGTTTTATTTCATTCATTCTATAGTATGCTATATACTGATATTTCTGATTTTGTACCATGAAGTGTTCTCCTTTTAAATTTGTATGGATGAACTGTTGTTATTTTCTGGAGCTTTATGAACACAAAATATTTTAAATTAAGCATCCAAAAGAAGCAAACTGCGCATAAAAAGCATCTGTTAGTTGGTGTTCTTTTTATGATACTGGTAAAATATAATGCATTACTTAAATGCAACTAGCACACAATGATTACAAACATAATTTTTGTTGAATACCACTTGTATTTAAACAGTCTTATTTGATGTTTACTTTAAATGATGGGCAAATAATTACATAGCTTAATTTACTGTTTACATATCACATTTGAAAAAATGGACAGGTTGTGACAAGATGGTTTAGGGCATAATATTGTAACAGTTATATATTATATGTAGGTTTTCTATTGTCAATATAACTTAAAATGAAACAAATACAGGCAAAGAGTCAGTAAAATTTGTCTAACCTATACATCAGCAACTAGCATTCTGGTACTTTCACAAGACAAATTCAGATATAAATTACATCTCAGTAACTTAATTATGGCAACTTTACAAAGAAAAAAACAATCCAGATTGATGTTTAAACTTAATTAGCTTTTAAGTTTTTCTTGATGGGCTTGACAAAAAAGGGAGATGGATATGAAATACACAAGTAGTAGTCTCATTAACTTAAAATCTGTCCATTATTATTTTAAGAGGTATTAAAACCAAAAATCTAAAATTAAGCAGTCAACAGTAAAGTGGCTGGTAAAAATGCTAGCCAGCCATTATGGTGGTGGTATGTACAAGTCAACATCAAAGTAAAAACTAGATGTATATATATGTAAATAAATAAATGAATGATTTTGATATTATTGCCCTTATTATTGATCATTTTTACCTTCTCTATAGTGAGTAATTACAGAGAGTATCTGCCAACATTCTCCAATAATTTACCTGTGTTTTCACATTCTGTCATTATCTCCAATAATCACTGGGCTATCAATAATTAATGTGAAATAACCTGTATTTGCTCACCTGGGTTTTAGTTAAATGATACAAAGATAAACCTGTCTTGAACTTGACAAGAATGTTCAATGACATAGATACAGAAATTAGAGTTTATAAGATGTGCTGGCAGTGATTTTTCTCACTTAATTGGGAAGAGTTTATTTTAGGAAGAATAATCACTAAAATTGCTGATTTGGGAAGTAAAAAAGCTGGTTTCAGTTCAGAGTTTTGGGAGAACTGTACGATTTTAAAGAAAATTTCAATTGGGAATCTAAGGCCTTTTTTCGGAGTCTATTATATTAGTAGGAAAATCACTGGCTGGTTGATCTTGGTTTATACTTGTTGCATGGGGCACAATCAGTTGCCACAAACAGACTAAGGGTTAATATAATATACATACCTGTACTCAGTTCAATCTTTGTATTAGAATCAATAGAAGATTTTGGTTTCCCTGGTATTGGTGGCCTCAAAGGAAAAATTGTTGGCACAGCAATGGAACCAGCAGTCATCTTGATAGACTATGGCTCAAACCTGTAATATATACATGAAATAAATGATAAGGAACTGTTTTTCTATAAGCTGCATCAATTCTTTTCACAATACAATACAGTTTATTTGCTTTTCAAATCACAAATGTGTCTAGTATAATTAAGACAAACTTGTAGGAAACAGGTTAATGTGTCAATGTTTAATGATAACTGAGGGACTTATCAAATTATTCCAATTATAACTTGTAATTATGAATTTTATTGATTCTAATTGGCTAATGCACAATAAAAATTAAAATAGGGGTGAGATTTTGAGTTTTCAAAGCCATCAGAATATGGTTTTTAAAGCCATCAAAATATAGTATCATATAGCTTTTTGATAGCTGTGAAAACTTTGATACTGGTATTATAAATAGACAGTGTGCAGAGCATTTTTAACTATTGAAAACAAAACAAGTGAACTTCATCTGAGTTAATCCAACACCAACAATGCATTATTATAATTAAATTCCTTTTTAAAATTGCTACACAATTAAGCTTGTACCAGACCAATGAAGTACGTTTTTTAGAGTATAGACAAACTATTGATTCACTCTCCACTAAACATCACCATGCAATAATTGTTAAAGATATAACACTTTTTTTTGGTGAAGCTGACTTTTCTTTGATCTTGAAAGCAAAATGGGAATACAAAGCAGAAAATTCTTCCAGACTCCCTTGCAGAGAGCCCTTTACAATTTTTTTTATCTTAAATAGATAGATCAATTGGCAACTTGAATAAAAGGCACAGTATAGTACATAGAAGAAACATCACTTAAACAGTACCATTATGTCAGTAAATTATAAGAAAAAAAGGCCTTGGCCATAACTTGCACAAGCACAACTAACAAAACTCATTCAACTCAATATTTCAACTGAAAAGAAAAAAATTAGTGGTTTCTTTACACTAAAACCAATATTGACAAAGTTGAGATGATGAAGATTACTACCGTCTCCCCAGTGTCGCAGCCATCAGAGAGAACTGGGCTGGCAAGCCCTTTAACATAGCAGGCTGGACTGTAGGCTCATCATGTTTTATAAGATACATCATAACCTAGTTGTAACTGATCTCACACCATATGTCCATTTCCAACAGATCAACCAGACATATGCACCCCTTATCCCTATGTGTAATACAGGTTTCCTACAAGTAACATAAATACTCTTTCTTCCCTCATAGAATTGTACTATGGAATAAACTCCCTAGCTACATTGCCACCCTGCCCAAATTAAGTCAGTTCATAGGGGAAGTACCACTGCAATACTTGTCTTGCTCCCAGTGTTTTTAATTATTTTATCCTTTATCTTATCATTTCACTAATAACATTTTAATAATGACTAGAATACATTTTCAGTCTCACCTTCCTAGCATGTTTATAATGCTTGGACTATTTTGTTTTTCTTTCACCTTTTACCCGTTTACTAACAATCTGATGTGCACTTTATTCCTGCCTGTAACACTCGCAAGGGGGGTTGGCATTATTCAAAGTTAGATAGATAAACAGGAGCATATTTCTGTGTAAAGGGCTATATTTATTCAAATCATTTTAGTCACAAGTCCCACAAAAAAAATGAGAAAACAGGACAATGATGGGATTAGCGGACTGCATCTGTTTGGGAACGTAAAAGGACCACTTGTGGTATATAATTCTACAGTTTGTAACCATTAAACGGTATATTTCACCTTTTTTCTTAACACTAACTACTTTGAGTGATGCAGTATCAGGGATTTTTTCCAGGATTTTGGGAACATGACCCATACCCATGGAATTGGGAATTTCAGCGGTGTTTTGTTAAAAATTGGGAAAAAATGCATGACTGAAATTTTGCAGTGATTAAATGGATGCAAACAATTACTGTCTAGGATGGCATCTTCAAACATTTAAGCACTATTACAGTGAAGAAGCCCTTATTTGCAAAGATTTTAGAATTTTTATTCAATATTTTTATTTTGTAACTTTCAATTGGGAATTTTTTCCTGTGGATTGGGAAAATAATATACTATTTTCAATTGGGAATATGACCCAATAACGGCTATAAAATAAGCCAAAAAAAATCCCTGAGTATCAATGAATAGATTGCTGATTATACTGTATGATATATCCCGGTGTAACCTAAATTCGGCTATATAAGAACAAATGTCAATGGCATTTTCAATAAACTACAGTAATCTATAATAATACTTGATATAATTTTACTACAACTATTTAAAAGTTACTTTAAGTTGATTTCTAACAATGTAATCGTTCAGCGGTTGCCAAATATAAAGAAATATGGCTGATGTAAAATCTTACTATGATCTGAAAACGTCACATAAATTCGGCGATTCTGATTAGTTGCAGTAAATTTTTAATTTTGGCGGGATTGTGACGTTATATGTTGACCTAGATCAGCAGTAAAAATAGTAAGATAACAGATGGAGACTGTCAAACTGATTAAGCAACAATATCAATCAAAAAGAGGAAAGTATAGATAAACTTGAAATTGCGTCAGGTAAAACACACAATTTTCTCCATGTCATACACAATTTTTAATGTTTACCAGCCGTAGCTCCATCTTTAGTGCAGGAAATCACTCGAGTTGTAAAAATACACCGTGGGACATAAATATGATTGACCTTTACCTCTGAAATCTCACGTGAATGACGAAAAACAAAACATCGCCGAATTTAGGAGAACGCTGATTTTGGGTTACGGTAGGATATGATTTTAACTAAATATCCCTGGATAATGCATAAAAATTAAGACAACAAAGTCGAGCATTATCTATTATTTAATGATGTGACAAGTGTATAATTCCCTCAACAAAACCAAACTGCTTTGAATGAAGACATGAAAGATGACAGGTACTACTAAAGGTATGCAATATTGTCAACATCATTTAACATGTTGGCATTATTCAAAGATAGATAGATAAACAGGAGCATATTTCTGTGTAAAGGGCTATATTTATTCAAATCATTTTAGTCACAAGTCACACAATAAAATGAGAAAACAGGACATTCATGTCACGTCCAAAGCCAGACTCTTATCGCCTTATGGGCCCAGCTACAAGTACCCACTAGTGATATCCAAGGCTGTGCCGGCAGCGGCCACCGTAACCGGAGAGGTTTGGGTTGAAGAGGCGAAATATAGCTGGCCATACTTTTTGTCTATATCTCTACCTTTGTACTATCCAACCTCTTCTAACTTTCTATCATTTCTTGTATATTTCTTTTTTTTGACCTAGCACCACCCGTCGCGTCATAATCAAGTGTGATTGCACCGACGTACAATGTAGATGTAGATGTAGACATGAACAGATGTGAGATGAACTTTTACTTTACATTACTGGAGTTGAGGTCGCAAGACGTCAGCATCGTCTTCTATAACCCCCCCCCCCCCATGGCTTTGTACCCAGTTCTGATCCGGTATGGTGGTATACTGTGTTGCTCCCATGAATTTGTCCAACCTGTTTTTAAAGCTATAAAGTGAAGGAGCATTCACAACCAATTTCATTTTATTGACATTTTTGTAACACCATGTTCAATGATTTTCTGTAGTTTACAGGATTCTGACATTCCTTTTAAAATATCATAATATTAAACACGTGTAATATGACGTACAACAAACTATACTTACTGAAATATAACGATTAAACATCCAAACAAAAATTATTTTTGACACAAGTCGGTAAATTGACGATGTGTTCGGGCACCTGCATAGCAACCCCGGGAAATGTAACGCGTATTTTCATTGGTTATAACAAGATTAAACTTGCGAAAAGTTTTACAATTAACGAAAATGAACTTAAAGTCTATAAAAAATTTGAACATTTTAGACAACCAGGCATTTTATTTATTATATGATCTATAAGAAGAAATGAATTTGTTTATACATTACTTGGAGCTTTTTATTCTTACTGATAAAAATATAATACGGAATAATGTTCTTGACTGTACTGTAGTCTTTAATAATGGATGGCATTGAATAACCCAGACCTAGAATCTATACTAAAATCTGCATTATAAGTATCTGCGGCTACTAAACAGACACTGTCCATTTTTGCATATAAAGGAATATAACTGAAAATTTAAAGCTATGTCAGAGTGTTTCAAATAGTACGTATGGTCAGGGTCATGGAGCTAAATATAGATATTGATATATACATTGTATATCTGTGCCAGGGTCTTTGAAATATACTATTTGAAAGATCCTGGCTAGAAGGAGATGCAATATACTGTACTTAATGTTATAACTACAAATATGTCAATATATCTTATATAAGAATGTTTTAAAAGCCTTAATTTTTTAATAAAATTGTTGGATTTGGATGGGAAAATAATAGGATAGGGTAACTTTTACCAGAGGCTACAATTTTTCTTAGAAGTATTCTTTCTGTAGTTTGCCGAATAACAAATGGGATATTAATCGATCATCTTTTATAATCTTTTCTTAGCTTATAATGCCCCATCTTACTTTAATTAACTTGAACACGATATGGCTTATAGACTCCTCATTCGTTAGAACTTATATCTCTTAATAAATGACTCATTAAATGTTGCTATTTTACAGAGCTATATTTATTTATCTGTACTTTAAGTCTCTGCCATTACTAAACGTTTCGGCCAAGTTAGTTTTTAAATACAATAGTATACTGTCACTGAAGACATGTTTTCGTCTAAAGTGTCTCTTTTAATTGTCAATGCCTCTTATTAGAAAAAAATATTATGAGTTTTAGGAGATATTGAACCATACAAGTGTGTACTGTATTATACACATGTTTTACATGTATATGTAAAAAAAATTGATTGCATCAATTCGAGTTCATTAAATCATTTTGTATGATTACTCTTGATACCCTTTATGCTGTCATTATACATTTTGACAAGGTCCTTAGCTCAAAGGTCATTAATTAGCTCCAACCGACTTCTCTATATCTCATCTTAATAATTATTCATATGCAGTCATACTTTTAGTTGCCTATTTACAGTGCTCATGTCTTTTGTCAAATATTATTGCTTGACTGTTTTTTGAAAGATATATAGATCGATGTCATTGTCAAAGTAAATAAGAACAAAACACTTCCAAAATATGTGTAAAGATATCGATTTATTGAACACAGTTTTATAGAAAGACTAAAGAACATACTTATGCGCGCATATTAATACTACTACACTCACTATATTGTTTCAAATGTGTACAGATCTTTTTTTTTCTGTTGATAATGTAATTGTAAGTAACAGTTAATTTCTGATTAGTAAAAGAGTTCTGCATATGACATAATTGCCACGAGTCAGGGGCAAGCCGTTGATTCCTTTGACAAGAAACTCTAAGCACTGGTTAGTTCGAGAGTGATTCAATAAGCTCATAGCTTCCAACACAATCAAACTAGAATAAATTCGTATAAACAAAGTGCTAAGGATATTTGTCTACAAACCTGGTGATTGTGATGTCGGGCCCTAACTGGGGTCATGACTGTAGCCATAAGCATGAAACATTAAGAACATTATTCATAATCTGGATAGCTTAAATAAAATGTTTAGATTTAATATTTATGAAACCTAATTATGATCTCTTATTTCGCATAACGTTTCAAAACAAATTAAATAATCAACATGAATATATTAGCTTGTTCACCAAATACTTTGTGTAATTTTTACAGAAGGTCAATGCCTTTTACATGTATTTCTGTACTTCAATTGGAAATGTATCTTACACACATATTTTGACTGGGGGAACATATACCGCTTTTCATGGAATGGCACTAAAGTGTCACATTGAAAGTTCCATAATAATTGCCATATGAACAAACCTGCGGATGTTACAAACCAGTTCATGTTTAATGTTGAATTATGGTTAAGTCGGTACTAGGGGACGAGAGCGGTAGCTTGCAATTACCACTATACCGTCCATGAACAGGCTCAATCAAACCGAGCTTGCAACATTTACAATTTTGCCTGTGTTGGCTTTCTTTAGGGATTCTTATTTTCTCTTTTTTTGAAAGTTTGTTTCGCAACATTTTTATTATTATTTTATTATTCACAACTACTAAATGTAGAAATAAAAGTAAAGTAATAGATTGAACTTTAACATGTTTAACAGCACTAAAAATATAAAATGCAACATAAAGGCAAAAGAAGAGAAACGCTGGACATAATTAAGTAAATTCAGTTAGCTTTTATCTATTTATTTCAGATACAAGCTAAGTATACACTTTTAAACTTATGATGATGTATACAACAAAAATCAAATCATGGATTGACAGACATAAGATAATTAACTTTATGATTATCTGTAATATCCATAATAACATTATATTCAATTTCATGTGTCATAGGTGAGAAAATTGTTCAGCCTGACCGGGACTCGAGTCTGGGACACTAGGAATATCGTGCCACGGCTCTATCACTAAGCGACCCGACCGCTTACACATCTACCTACCCACCCCCACAGTTAGTGAACAGAACAGTTCTGAATCGTGACAAACTCCCTTACTACATTGAAATTCGTCATCCAATTTCCTTAGGAATCACAGACCACTTATCAGTTATGGTGTATTTATAAACCGCCAGGGTCCCCTGTTCCCCACAATGTGTCAGAAGATGAAAAAATGTGCAGCCTGACCGGGACTCGTGGTACTACCGACTGAGTCAAACGACCTCTTACATATCTCTTCCCCATGCCTCCAATTAGTCAACAGTTCTGAACCGTGACGCATATAAGAAAAACATGCCACATAAAATTGAAATGACACTCATGCCATTATTCGGATAAAGCGACATTGCTCCTCCAGCTAATGTTAATAAATACACATTAAAAGCATTTATAAGCTTTGTTGAAGACAACGGGTTGGCAAAACGCCAAAATCAGCCATTTTAATGTTAAGAAAACTATATTACATTGAAAAAGCGTAATGTCTAAAAGTAACTAAATATAATTGTTTTACAACTTTAATAGTCTGTAGCCATATCAAGGATTTCAAAAATTCAACTTAAACAAATGTAGACCATCATGTATTAATTTCAATAGACAACATTTAGTCCAGGAAAAGTTTTTTGTTCACAATGGTTGAGATTGTTAAGAAAATAATTGTTATCGTCATACATACAGTACGTACATGTCCGTTGAATGTATATAATCATTTTCAAATTATTCACTTAATTGCCTCACATATCATTTTAGTTGGTAAACCCCAATTCGATTTGCATCTTTATCGTCGTTACACCCTGTACTAATGTAAATATGTTGCGTTTTGCGATCAAAAGCAATCGCTTGTGGAAGACGTAAATTGTCTCCCGGCCCAATAACTACAGAAACTTCGCTCAGAGCTGATGTCATCCTGTACACAACATTATGCTGCCTATTACAAATATAGATTGCACCAGAAGGGGAGAGAAAGACGCCGTAAGGTTTATCCAGGTTATGTGAATACAAAGCAGTCATTTGACCATTTATGTTAATAGCAATCACTTTGTTAGTTGTAAAGTCAGACGCATAGATTACGTTTCCATCGAGACTCACGGCGATATGCCGCGGATGTTTGCAATGTTTTAAAACTTCAGCTTCTGGTTCTATCGTCTTGATGATAGCACCCGTCAGTTTTAGTACCTGGAACTTGACAGGGTTATTAAAAGAAACATATAACTTTCCGTTCATCATCTTAACGTCCAAGCAATTCCAGTTTGTTTTTATTGTTTGGACTTTAGATAGTTTTCCACGTACATTGATTATATGTATCTGGTATTTGTTATATACCACAGCAGCAACCTGATCATTAGATATCGCTGTCATGCCACATATCTCATCTTGATACATTAACGTGTCTTTTAAAGAATTATCAACACCATAATGCTTTAAACAGCTGTTATTTTTATCAAATAACAGCAGATCGTTGTCCGAGACCATAACTATTTCAACTATATAACAATTTTTTTGGTCACTGTCTGTTTTAATATTGAAGTCACGTACTTTAAAAATCACGTCGTTCTGATCACTTGATGCTCCTTGATTTATATTCATCTTAGCAACGGATGTACTGAAAGTATCTTTTGATATGTTGGCATTTTCAACGAGCACGTGGTGTCTGGATAATTTATTTCTCGAATGACTTTTGTAACAACCCCTACATAAGAATTCTTGACAATCTTTACAGAATCCAACGGCTTCTATTTTATCTCCAGCAAATTTGCATGGTTCACATGCATGTTCAGCTTTTCGCGGCATTGCGTCCTTCTCTAAAATAACATGAGTTTTGGACAATTTGCTTCTAGAATGACTACGTAGGCAATTGCTACATAGGTATTCTTCACAATTACTGCAGTATCCCGAAGCACTGGCATAATCTCCGACAGTTTTGCAAGGATCGCAACAATAGTCATCATATTCCTCAGAACTTTTATAAACAGATGATTCTCCCGACTTTTTACCGGCGCCCCCGACTTTGTCGGACATGTTGTTAAACTGTTCTATACCGTATCGTTTAGATAGGAACAAGATCCTTAAATTACAATTAGTTTTTTAATTTCACATCACAGTTTCCTGATATAGTCCAACACTCTTTTGCCTTTTATTTGTACATAGCTTAAAATGTTTTGAGAATTAATAGTACGTAAACTTGTTTAAACGACTAAAATATAATCTCAATTTAATAGTTCAAGGTAGATCGGATATTAACCTGGCTCAACAATTGGTCAATACAAAAAAGATAGAATAAACAAATATCGATCGTGTGTAATAAACTTTCTGTATACATAGTACAAATGTACATTGTTAGATGCTGTTAAATATATGGGTTAAACTTAAATCCCGTATAGGTTAAGTCTTATATCGACCAATTGTGCTGTTAACCTTGCCACTAATAAGCAAGCTTTGAAAAAATAGTAAAATGAATATCTATTTAAATAATGTTTACTTGCAAGTTTTCAATCATTTACATCGTAATTTGTAACCTGTTTAGTTTTTGTCTTTTTATTATCTTATTTGTATGTTTGTTTGTTTGTTTTCATTCAGATATGCTTGGTTATTTTCAAGAAAGTACACGATCGCTTGACATGGTATGCTATACCCAAATATGTGAAAGTGGTTTCATTTTTTTCTTTGAGTTTTGTTCTTTTGAAATTGTGGATTCCAATGCCGTGTTGTAGATTGAATACTTGCCGAAATAGTTTGCAACGAAACATGTATATATGGGAATCTTCAAAAGTGAAAATACACAGCACGGTAACCCAAACAGAGCAGAGTCTAGCTTTTTTGAATAATTGTCAATCTACATATGGAAAAAAATGCATAATGTAAAGAATCTTATCGTTGTAGAAGAAACACAATATGACATCTCTTCATTGTTATAATTATGTCCTTATAACCATCACCAGGCTTTAGCTATTTTAATGTTTAGCATTTTTAATGTTAAAAGGAGACAAATCAGACGTATATACAGGGAAAATCGGTGTCAGAATGTTGTACAGAAAAGACAATTCCTCCCTTCTGCTATGTACATGTATATCATTTTATGAATCATCGTAAAAAAACTACATACTAGTTAAATATAGAATTACGCCAAAATATGATATATTTTCTAGTTCAGAGATTCCATAATAAATATTTTCTTCCAACAAAAGCTTCACTTTTTATACAAATTGCAGATTAATTGTTGCTATTGTTGTTGTTGAGATAAATAAAGCTGATGCTTGTACATAGTGGGAATTCTGTCTTATTTTTTTGCTTGTACATAGTGGGAATTCTGTCATATTATGACTAGAAAATGTGACTGCAAATCGGAATCAGTTTTAAAATGCCTTCAGTTAAGAATTTATAACTAATTAAGTAGACTAGTACACAATAAAATGAATTCTAGTCATTCATTCTACTATGATCACTGTGAAAAAGTGAAATGGTCATCCAAAATGGCTAAAATGGAAAATTTTCTCGCTGGGTTATCAATGTTTGAATGACATGAAGCTACTCCAATCAGTGCGTCCACCTCGTGGAGAGGCACATGGCATCGGCAGAAGTTTGGAGCTTGGTTTGACTTCTCTTTACCACAGACACAGGTTGGGTTATGATCCTAGCGTTGTTCTTGTGTAGAGAGGACAGACCATAGAAGTCAAACTACTACCACATTGAGGAGTTAAGGTTAAGCTACTTTGGCATTCTACAAACCAGCTGCCTACTCCCTGACTGAAGCCAAGGGAAGTGGCCCTACAGTGTAGGGAGGGACGACGATGAAGGATACTAGGGTGTGTGATCCCCTATTATGCAGTGACGAATTAATAGTTAGACTAACCTCATTCATTATTTCAATGATTACTGTACGTTATTATCTCTTCGGCCCCTGAACATTGTCTACTTTCTACTCAAAACTCTCTTCTATAGCTAATACTCTGTGCAAGCAGGTAAATTATTACGAATTTGTGCTTCAGAATTATAACTCTTCAAGGGTGCACGCACGCGCGCACGCTCACACGCGCACACACATACATACATACATAGAGAAATACCATCAAAGAGACAAAATTTTAATATTTAAGTTTGTTTAGTGTTAGCCTATTCATAATATTCTTGTGTGTAAACTAATATAGTTCTGCTATTCATCTGAGTGATAATCAAACTGTTTCCTTGTTTTAAAAGTTTCTTTTTGAGACAAAGAAAAAAATGTTATGAATACATACATGTAATTGACAATGTTTGAAATCTATGATTGTTTTAATGAATTGAAACAAAAATTGCAAATAAACATAGGGGGGAGTGGTGGCCTAGTGGTTAAGGTGTCTGCCTCTCAACGTTACCAAGAGATTATGGTTTCGAGCCCTACTCGGGTCACGACCGTGTTTCTTCATATGACACCAGTACTGGTTGGTTCCAGGAAACGGATTCGAAAGTGATAAATATAAGTTTCAAGAACTTGTTTCGCAATCGAGCTTAAATAAATTTGTTTAAACCAAATAAACACACTTTGATTTCTAGACAAATTTATGGTAAAAAAGGTACAGTATAATTATGTTTATCCAGACAAAAAAAATGTCATTATGTGATAAACAACAATTTTTATGCCGATCCTTTAAGTTCATTTTCGAGGTTTCAATACGCGTGCTGTTCGTGCAATACAAACGACTGAAGTATGCCTCCTTCCGTAAAAAAGATCTCAGTATTTTCCGGGTTTATACATGTCTTTTTTCTCTTTATATGAGTTATTCCCCTTTGTATACTTCCGGTAAGCATGGATGCTTACGATTTGTTTAGAAAACTAGGAGCTGGAGCTAAATTTGATCTTAAACGCTTCAGATCTGATGCTGAGAAACTACATGTAAATTATTTTTGCCATTTTTAGTTACTTTTATTATTAACTGAAGGTTTTATTTCAGTCTATCCGCCAGTGTCATCAGTATTCGCGATGAAAACATTGCACAGTTTTTAAAAGAAAAGCAATGTTTATGTTCTTCAACTTGAAAATCCTTCATTCAACTTACTTATTCTTCATTCACTCAAGAAATTAATAATATGACCTTAGGCAAACGTTAATATGAAATTAGGCAAAGCCTATGACCGGGGAAGTTGTTAAAAAGTCCATTCATTGCATCGCTTCCATTTTCACTCAGAACACTCGTCGTTTTTTATTTATCCGAAAAGTTAAGATTTGTTCCGTTATCGGAATACACCGTCTTTTATCATATAGTTACATTGTAAATGGCGGCGCCTAACTAGAACTTACACTGATAATTTAATTGATAGGGCCTAAAAAAAAAAATAAGTTTGTTTCTGGTAACCCAACCGACCGAAACATTTTAGCGCCTACAAAAACAATATCGGACGAAAAGCCGTCCCGGTACGGGCGTAACGGATTTTATACCGTAATATGAATTTGTCAATAATTTAGCCTACTCATTGTCATGACAACAAAATGGCTGCGCCCCGGTCGCAGTCATTGTCGACTTTACTGGCAATAAAAATTTTAAAATGTTCGCACCGAAAAGATGAAATAAGCGTCATCAAATCTGTTTTCAATAGCAGTACGGTGCACGATATATACGAATCATTTACGGGCGGAAAAACATTGGATTTTGAGGCTAGATGTATGGTAAGTTAAAATAGTCGAATAGTCTTCAAAGTGCAGCGTCATTTTCCAGAGGCCAATTCAGCGATTTAAATATTACTTTTGGTTTGTTTTTCTTGTCTCAAATGTTGCTCGTTGCACTGCTTTTTCGTTTAATTATCCCTAAAATTCTGTTGTTTCGTTTTCAGACAGAAAGTTTTATAAAACAGTGGAAATGAGTAGACGAATTCATATTCCGGTGTTTTCAGTACCTTCAATGATACCTGAAAAGAAAAACACTAAAACAATTTTAATATTTGATGTACTTACAGCCAAAAGGCAAATCAGGAAGTCCATGGTATATACCTAGACTTTGGTTCCTTCCTTACAAAAAAAAAAATTTTAAAAATGGCTACCTACCGACCCATTGTTTTTTCAAAGATGTTACCAGAAACAAACATATTTTTTTAGGCCTAGGTATAGAATTTTATATATTTTTTGTTTTTTTTATTTGATTTTCTTTTAAATATACATGTGTAGTCAATAGCCGGGGAAGCCAAAGCCCGGGCCCGATTCGCGGACCCGGACATTGACTTCCTTGTATGAGCGAGAAAGTCGGTTTAAAAAATCATTCAATTTTCCGTTTTAAAAATTAGAGTTGTCATTCACACAGGGACCCGGCACAGTGTTGGAATAGTGTAAAAAGGTAATTCTAGAGAAAAAAATATATACTGGGCAATCTCCTGGATTAGACCCCTATGTATATTTCAGAAGTAAAACTTATATATAATACACTATAGAAAATGGAATGAACCTTATATATACTCCTGGACCCCTATGTATATTTCAGAAGTAAAACTTATATATAATACACTATAGAATATACTGTATATATAATATATAGACAAGGGGTTGAAATGGCCAAATCTGCCGAATGCCACTTCAACCATTTTTGAACAACAAACCAACATTTCGGATAGAATATTGTATTTTTGCTTGGTCAGACACGAACGTGTAACCTGTCCCCACTTGTTTTTCTACGTGTAAAAACACAATTTCAAACCATGTCATTGTACCAACCCGCAAATAATCGATAAAACAAAACTGAAGAAACAAAAGTTGATATTGACTTGGCACTATCACTTTTGAACATACTTGTCTTACCATACTGCTCTTCAAGCTCGCTATGAAGTATTGATTGTATATTTTAACCAAGGACAATCATTGATTGATAATTTTAGACCTTTTGAGTGTTTTTACGTCTTTGGTATTATTAAACATCCTTGATGAAGTGCCATATTTTTTTTTATTACAATTTATATAAAGTGACAACTTTGTCAAAGCCACACAAACACTTGTAAACCTTGATTTGGCCTTGAAGGGAAGGCCAGATATTGTACTGGATTCATATGGATTTTAAAAAAGGCAATTTTCTTGGAATGTTGACAAGGGCAAAATATTGTGGAAAATAAAAAACATTGGCAAACTTTCACTTGCCAGCTGGACAATCATCTGGTCATCATTGCCGACTGTTTAATTATATCAATGAGGACAAGGTTATGCCCCCTTTTATTAGGCTATCATTAATCTTATAATCATGGCAAATATTTCATGTTTTGACCACATTAATATCTGTTGTGGTTGTTTTTGTTTAATTGCAGTTAGTAAAGCCAGTCAGTAAAGTTCAGTTGCCACGTCAGGATGTCAACACTTCAGTAGATTATACTGCACAAAATACTAGTGATAAAGGTAAGTTAAGTATGTGCTGATGTTAGTGTAAAATGATTAAACGAACAAAAGACTATAAAAAGGTTAATTAATTGCCCCCTTTCCACCATAGATTCAAATTTCTCTAGAGACTTTGAATTATTTCATAAAGGGAGTCAGGTTATCTATCTTTAGGAAGGTTGGTGGTTTTACTGAGGTGCAGGCTCATGTCAAAATGTCTAATATAATGACTTTTTGTCTTCCATCACTACAAAAACTAATATGAAATTAGGTGCTACCTATGACGCGGAAAGCTCTTATGATTTAAGCATAATATGTTTAGTGTACATGACTGTTAACCAGATCTATCATGCAATTCGTTAATAAGTAAATGTAGGTATTTTGTACCGTAAACAGAAACGAATAAATTGGTGGTGTTCAACCTATCATCGGAAGAGGGACCACTGCGCATGCGTCGGCGTTTTGAAAAACCCGTCCGCCATTTTCTGTTAATCTCTAATCACATATGTTGTTTTTACATTATTTTTAATGTGCTAATTTATCAAAAAAGATTTAAAAGTAACTTTTTACATTTATATCAATGTTACTATAGTTCTTATGAATGAAATGAATGTTAATTTTCTGATTTTGTACATCATTCTTTCACCGGAAGTGTTATTATGCATGCGTCTGCTAGCAATAGTCTGAATTATGTAGACGCTCATTAAAAGCGCTGTGATATCTATATTTAGCTCAAAAGGATTTCAAAATGGTGGCGCCCTGTAAACTAAGGATTTTTTCACAGCTCATTAGGAATAGGATATAATTATATTTTTTTGAAATTTTCATTTACTTTTAATTTGATTTCATTTGAATTGATGCACGTCATACATGTTATCTAAGAGCGCTACAGCCCTTGCGGGGCCTTTGGCCCCGCTCGGACTTTCCGCGTAATAATGTGTGTTTTTAAGTTTATTTATAATGACCATATATATGCCACATGTCTCAGACTATGGGCCTCTGTTACGTCGCTGGTGGTAGAGTCACATTGGAGGACTTAGTTTAATAGCCTTTATACATTGCTGATCATAGAGCCACAACGTAGGTCTTCTCAAGCTGTCTGTCCCAAGGACCAAATTTTTCACATCGTAGAACAAAGGAAGACAATACTTGAAAAGCACCTCCTCCGGGAGGCAGCAGCATCATTTTAGAGCCACACCCTTCGCCTTTAGTTAAGTCACCCTAGGCCTAACTATGTCACCCGTCTAGTGTGATCTATGCGCTCTGAGCGACAAGCATGTCACGAAAGAATGTCAAGAGTGTAAACTAAAAACTTGCCAAAGGATCTGTTTATGCAGGAAAAAAAATGATAAGAATAAGTGGTGAAGATTACTAAGATACAAACATGTTAACATCACACTGATTCTATATTCAACAATATTTTAATTGATAAATCTGTCATAACAAAATGAAAGATTACTGTCATTTTGCTGGTTTAAAATACAGGCTGTCCAGCGTCCCTAAAATTCCTAAAAAATCCTAATTTTTTTCAGTTTGGCTAAAATTCCTAAAAAAGTGAAAAATTCAAAGGGAATTCCTAAAAATGCCCTATTTTTTCACTGAAATTCCTAATTTTTATTATGTCTTGTTATAAACATACTTATAACTTGTAACACTTTGAAAATGATATCGAACATAACAAAGTCTACCATGTTTTGAACATGGTCAAAAATGATTTGGCCATGATTTGCCAACTCAAAATTGGTGACATTGAAATGGTTTTGTTCCAACTAAAAGTTACTTTGACTATGTCCGTAACATTACTATTTCATAATCAAAGCAGTTGTTGATAATCATGTTGACAGTTAACAGCAAAAACACTACCATATCATGGTCCTGAAACTTAAATCATAACCATAAGAGGTCTACTTATTCTGGAATATTTTGACACTGTTTTGCCAACTCCAGATATCTTGAATTTTATGTTTGTTCTTTTTTTCCAATGACTGAAGTGGTCCATTTGTATCATATTATATTTGAAAATGATCATCATGAAGATGTTGTATTAAAAAACATGTATAAATAGTTGTCAAAAATTAATGTACAATTTGTTTACTCACAACTCTTTTAATTAAATCTGCATAATTTCAAAACAACATTGTAAAGTACTAAATCTGTTAATGTAGACTTTGCAAAATTAATTCTTTCCCTCATTCTTATTTATCCTTTCTGATGCCTCTGTAGGAGAAAATAGTTATTTTGCCACAAAGTTATCAATTTCATTCACTTCTTGTTCTTTCATTCATATGGTGCAATTTAGGAAAAGGCAGACTCATATAATTTTATCACACTCAAAATAATTTGGCAGTTCACTAATATAAAGCTTATTTCCAGTTACCATGTACACACATTTTGCAATTATAGATCTAGATAAACTGCAATTGAATGGTCTGTGTGATGAACTTTTTTGATGTGCAATTCTGTGTGTTGATTATTGATGCTTCCCATTTGTTCAAATGACTATGCTAAGGCTAATGCCTTTTTACTTCCTACTTGTACAAAAACTTTCATTTGTCCAATGATATTCAAAAGCTGCATTGTGCATGAATTTCACTGTATAAGAATTCCTTTTAGACACTCCCAATTTAGTCCCAAAACATAGGTAGAACATGTTCTTTTGACATGTTGAACCATTGATAAAACATATTTCAAATATTGTTTGAACATGGTTTGACTATGACAGGGGAGGCAGTTGACCACTGTGTGTCCACACTGGTAGACACCTTTGCTCTAATTAAACTAGAGCATTATTTGTGAGTTACTATTGTATCAAATATGCAAAAGTTATCCCACATCATGGTCTTTTGGGTCCTTAGTTTAGTTATAATATTCCAAATTTTAGCCCTAAAATTTCTATTATGTACCCTAAAATTCCTAATTTTAGCCCTAAAATTTCTAAAATATTGCCCTAAAATTCACCCTAATTTTATGTCGGAAGATGCTGGACAGCCTGAAAATACAATTTAAAGTGAAAAAGCATACATGTGTTTATATGATGAAATTCTTAGAATTATTTTTTTGTCATTTGCCAAGTAGGAAATATTGGCATTCAAATTTTACTTATTCATTTTCTATAAACCTTGACAGACATTTAACAGGTTAAACAGATTAAAAAAAATTCAAAGAATTTAAAAGAGTATATTACAAAAATGGCAGTTTAATAGTACAATATAAAATATTTTGATTGTAATTTTTTTTTTAAATGTAAATCTTAAAATCGTATTTTATTTATTTACAAAAGAGATAACTAATTGATAAAATAATCATTAATTCCACATATAAAAACAAGATCATTTTGATTTTTTCCAGCAGAAAAAAATGAGAATGATGAGTCAGACTCGGATCAAGACTTAGATCAGTCCTCTAGTGACTCAGATTCAGACACATCACAGTCTTCTAGTGATAATGATGAAGATTCAAAGTCTGGTTCCAGTTCTGAAGATGAGGTAGAGCTCCAGCTACTTGGAAATATAAAATCAAAGGGTGATGAGCAGGGAGCCAATTGGCAAGAAGAAAGAAAGAAAAGGAAACAAAAAAGAAAAAATACTGACCCAGCAAAGAAAACAGCTGAATTAAAAAAGGAACAAGTAAGTTAAGTTGAAGTTCAATGATTTGGTGTGAAACACTTGTAGTAAAGTAACTGATTTTATTAATGATTTTACAACAGAATTTGTATAGATTTTATATCTTAAATCTTATTAAGTTGCCCTATACCAACATGAGTGCAAGTGGAAAACTAAAAAGTTCATTTATGCTGTTGATCTTTTGAGATGAAATTTCTTAATAAATTCTGGTCCCATTCTCACTAAGGGTTAAGGATAAAGATCAGGAACAAAAACTATATTTCAAAATTTTTCTATCTGTCTAGTGATAGATTTAAAATTAAATCATAAATGTTATCTCAAAAATAGACTTAAAATAGCATAAAATGAAGAAACTCTATAAGAAAGTTTATCCAAATTATGATCTTGGTCCTTAAATTTATCCTAACATTAATCCAATTTTATTAAAATTTGTATTGTATAAGTGTCATAAAGCAATGGAAATAAAGTCAGAATCATGTCATCCAGATCCTGACATTATTTTTGTGAACACTGGACCTAATGATTGATTTTTGGTTGTAGGTAAATCACGTCCGTAATTTGAACCGTGTACATGCATATGGTACAGATATTCCGGAGCCTGCGGAGACATTCGAGGATCTGAGAAACACATACAATATACATTCACGTATAATACAGAACATAGAAAATGTGGGCTATAAAACTCCTACCCCTATACAGCTGCAGGCTATACCAGTCATGTTACATGTAAGTACCTCTATTCATGATGTTTTTATTTGAGTAATAATGCTTTCATCATAAGCTCATAAACTTGCAAATACATGGCACATTGTATTTTTGCTATTATTTAAGTATTGTGTAGTTTGCTATTGTTCAAGTATTGAATATTTTGCGAATATTTAAGTATTGTATATTTTGCGAATATTTAAGTATTGTATATTTTGCTATCATTTAAGTATTGTATATTTTGCTATTATTTAAGTATTGTATATTTTGCTATTATTTAAGTATTATATATTTTGCAATTTTTTAAGTCCTATAAAATTATAAAACTGATGTTACTATGTATGTTAATGATCAGAACAATCATTTTCCAATGTACGTTCATGAACTATAGAAACTTGGGACATGTCTACTTAATATAGACTTTTTATCATGAATGAAGCTGTGAGATGAAAGGGGAAAAAGCTTGTCTTATACACATTCAAATTATGATTATATAATTGTTTAAGCTTTTAGAGTCAGGTTGATCCATATGCCTGTTTGAATACCTGTGGTAACCCATACAGGTATTGAAACTTGCTAAAATACTGAATATATAAAAAAAGTTTAAACTCACTCCATGCTTCCTTTTGATTGATTTGAGATTTGATATGTTGTAAAAACAATTTGAATGCTGCAGCAAATGATTTGATGGAAGATTAGTACAGATATATAGATTAAAATAGATAAGTAAAGGCACTTACATTTGAAATCATTTGAGATGTATATGTCATTAAACCACCATACCTGTGAAAGTCATGTAACATGCATTGATTCTGTATCTATTGATTAATTAAAAAAAATATATATAAATATTTTATTTAATTTAGAGAAGAGAATTAATGGCTTGTGCCCCGACTGGTTCTGGTAAAACTGCTGCTTTCATTATACCTATACTACATCATCTCCGGGAACCAAGAAATGAGGGAATACGAGGACTTGTATTGGCACCAACAAGAGAGTTAGCAAAACAGGTCAACCTTTTTCTTCATTATTATGTTAGTCCATGTCTAGTCAATTTTGTGCTTCAGGCAAAATGTTGCCGGCAAATTAAGTTGTAACAGTAACACTACATTATTTCTATCTCTCCAATAATGTTATGCATCTCAAACTATTCTTGGTTTGAATCTTTCTTTTTATACCACCGCACAACAAAGTTGTAATCAGCTTGTCCGTCCGTCCGGCCGTCCGTCGGTTTTTTCTTGTCCGCCCAATAACTTAAGATTCCTTTGACCCTTAGTCTTCATATTTGGCATGGAGGTTATTCATGATTAGTAGATGACCCTTATTGATTTTGAGGTCACTAGGTCAAAGGTCAAGGTCACAGGGGCCTTGACTTCAAAAAGCTTGTCCGCCCAATAACTTAAGATTCCTTTGACCTACAGTCGTCAAATTTGGCATGGAGGTTACTCATGATTAGTAGATGACCCCTATTTATTTTGAGGTCACCAGGTCAAAGGTCAAGGTCACAGGGGCCTTGACTTCAAAAAGCTTGTCCGCCCAATAACTTAAGATTCCTTTGACCCACAGTCGTCATATTTGGCATGGAGGCTAGTCATGTTAAGTAGATGACCCCTATTGACTTTGAGGTCACCAGGTCAAAGGTCAAGGTCATAGGGACCATGACTTCAAAAAGCTTGTCCGCCCAATAACTTAAGATTCCTTTGACCCACAGTTTTCATATTTGGAATGGAGGTTAGTCATGATTAGTAGATGACCCCTATTGATTTTGAGGTCACCAGGTCAAAGGTCAAGGTCACAGGGACATCAAAACGTTTGTCTGCCCAATAACTTTAGATTCCTTTGACCCACAGTCTTCATATTTGGAATGGATGTTGATCATGATTAGTAGATGACCCCTTTTGATTTTGAGGTCACTGGATCAAAGGTCAAGGTCATAGGGACTTTGACTTCAAAAAGTTTGTCCACCCATTAACTTAAGATTCCTTTGACCCACAGTCTTCATATTTGGCATGGATGTTGATCATGACTATAAGGTGACCCCTATTGATTTTGAGGTCACTGGGTCAAAGGTCAAGGTCACAGGGACCTTGACAAAAAAAGCTTTTCTTCTCAATTGCTAAAGAATGTCCTGTCCGCAATGTATTGATTTTGACATTTTCACATTTGAAGCATGTAGAATACATAACTTAGCAATGCACTGGCTTAGTAACCTCAGATTTGGCAAGGAGGTTGTCCTTGAGCTCTAAATGGCCACTGTTGATTGTGACAAAGTGGTATGCGGGGGTATTCACGCCATGATAGTGGCAGTTCTAGTTTTTCTTGAAAATATTTAGGCACTGCATATTACAATATCCATTCCTAACCCTGACTTTGTTGAACTACTGTATTGGTCTTATCGGAATCTCCTTTGTTAGAATATAGGGTTGCGATGTCAGATTTGTGAAAGTAAGCTGCCCACAGTATGGTGAGGCTACATTGATGTAGGCTGCCTGGATATAGGCAAAATGGTAGGCAAGGGAGCTTACATGTCATAGTTTGATGACACAATATTTGATTATTGGGTGTTTTCTCTTTTTTTTTTCTTTTTTTTTCCTCAAAATATTGAACACATGTCTGTTTTATTCCAAAGATGTATTTACCTTATTTAAGTGATTGTTATAAAGAGGGATGGAAATTTCTTAGTAGGAACTCTTTTATACAGAATTCTGAGATTTTGTGGAATTCTAGTAAGACTGACTGCTGTTGAGTACTGTTTATTGGGAAAAAATAATTGAGCCGCGCCATGACAAAACCAACGTAATGCGTTTGCGACCAGCATGGATCCAGACCAGCCTGCGCATCCGCGCAGTCTGATCAGGATCCATGCTGTTGGCTATTAGTTTCTCTACTTGTTGTAGACTTTGTAAGCGAACAGCATGGATCCTGATCAGACTGCGGGGATGCGCAGGCTGGTCTGGACCCATGCTGGTCGCAAACCTATTATGTTGATAAAAAAAGTTTTAAAAAACTTTCCTTTTCTCAACAGACATACCGAGAGTTTCAGCGTCTGTCTGAGGGTATAGGGTTTAGGATACAGTACATTGACAAGACTGGAAGTGATATGAAAAAAATTAGAAAAGCTACCAAAAAATGTGGTAAGATTACTTTTTAATTTCTATATAACTACATGTTAGTCATAATTATATTGTGCATTCTTTAATGATGGATGCTGATTATGAATTGATAAACATATACATGTATACTTCATGTATGGATATCAACTATAATTTTACACCTAAGTCATAGTAGTATTTATTATATACCTATAAATGAAAAATTGAGAAATATTGATGAAATAAAATGCGTATTTGCATTTTCCATGTTTTCACTGTAAAAAATTTATTTTTCACTACAGTGAAACATATTTTCCATATTTTCACTGGTGTCTTGCCGGACTACTTTCTTCTAAATTCAGCCAATACACAAACTTTAAGGGAAATCTTTCAAATTGTAATATCAAAAAGAAAAATGTATATAATAGACAGAAAATTCAAGTTTTTTTCTATAAATACAGGCTTTATTTTCATCTTGTGGTATGAAAATTATCATATTTCACTGGTGGGTACTGCCACTCAAGTAATATTTATTTTCATATCACTTGATAGAAATAAATTCTGTATTTATAGATATAAAACTTGAATATCCTCTATTTATCCTCCGGCAAAAAGGCGGCGGGGGATATGGTAATAGTCTCCGACCATCCGTCCGTAGTCCGTCCTTCCGTCCGACATTTTTGTCCGGAGCATATCTCAAAAAGTATTTGAGTTATCAACTTGAAACTTCATAGGTGGATAGACCTCATTGAGGAGGAGTGCAGTGCACAAGAATGATAACTCTACCCTACATAATTTTTGAGTTATTATCCCCCGCCGAAAATTTTCGGCGGAGGATATAGAAATAGTCTCCGTCCGTCCGACCTTCCTTCCGTCCTTCTGTCCGACATTTTTGTCCGGAGCATATCTCTAAAAGTATTTGAGTTATCAACTTGAAACTTCATAGGTGGATAGACCTCATTGAGGAGGAGTGCAGTGCACAAGAATGATAACTCTACCTTGCATGATTTTTGAGTTATTGCCCCTTGTTATTTTTCAAAATTGATTTTTGTCCAGAGCATAACTCCAAAAGCCTATGAGATATTTACATGAAACTTCATAGGTGCATAGATCTCACTCAGGAGGTGTGCATTGCACAAGAATGATAACTCTACCTTTCATAATTTTTGAGTTATTGCTCTTTGTTATTTTTCATGCCTAATTTTTCACCTGAGTGGAGCATAACTCAAAAGTGTTTGAGATATCAACATGAAATGTCATAGGTGGATAGATCTTATTGAGGAGGAATGTTGTGTGCAAGAATGATAACTCTTTCCTATACAATTTTTGAGTTATTGCCCTTTGTTTTTTTTTTCATGCTATTTTGTCCAGAGCTTATCTCAAAAAGTATTTGAGGTATCAACTTGAAACTTCAAAGGTGGATGGATCTCATTGAGGAGGAGTGCAGTGCACAAGAATGATAACTCTACCCTGCATTATTTTTGAGTTATTGCCCTTTGTTATTTTTCAAAATTAATTTTTGTCCAGAGCATAACTCAAAAAGCCTTTGTGATATCAAAATGAAACTTCATAGGTGCATAGATCTCACTCAGGAGGTGTGCAGTGCAAAAGAATGATAATTCTACCTTTTATAATTTTTGAGTTATTGCCCTTTGTTATTTTGCATACTTAATTTTTCAATTCAATTGTTTTCTCAAAAAGTATTTGAGGTATCAACTTGAAACTTCATAGGTGGATAGATTTTACTGAGGAGGGATGCAGCACACAAGAATGATTACCTACCCTGCATTATTTTTCAGTTATTGCCCTTTGTTATTTTCAGCCATCAGTATTCACATAGGTTTCAAATCTGTAATCACTATAGCCATCAGTTTTCATTACCAAAAGACCTTTAAAAATGGAATTATTCTGCTCTACTACATATACATTCTTCCAATGAGCAAACACATTCGGCGGGGGATAGCCATATTGACATGGCTCTTGTTATGCTTAAAACGGTAATTCAACAACTTACACTAGCTGATTATATGTATTAATTTTTGTTGAAATTTTAATTTCTTATTTACTTACTTTGTTAAAGGTTTTGAACATGATTAATTTAATTTTCAACATAAGTCAAGTGAACAAACTAAAATGTACATGTGAAAGTTTGATTTAAAAGGTTATAGTATTAAAATTGACTAAGGACATTTATGGGAATATAAACAATATTATAATTAAAATGTGATAAAAAGAAAAATCCACTATATGTTTTACATCAAGAAATTTATTCCCTGTTTAAGAAATAGTTAATACAGTAAAACTCCAGTAAAGCTTGAGAATCCATTTCCTCCAATAGAAACATTACCAGGGGAGTAAATGTCGGTCCAAATTTCATCAGATACTTCCATTGGTGTTACTATGGTTACAGAACTTTGATCAAAGCTTTTCTTACTTTCATCTAGACCAGCAATACAGTCAATTCTTGCCAACATCGCTCCATTCTTTCTGACCGATGCCCAAATGTTATAGCCACTCAATGTATCCCCAGAAAGGGTGACCGTGAACAAGTAAGTCCCAGCAATCGGGGCGACAAATAGACCTTGTCTAAAGTGGTAGCCGTTCCCTGCATTCAATGTGACATTTTCAAACTTGATGACATCGTTGATATTCGGGTATGTCACTGAATCTGTGATCTGCCTTGCATGGAATGCCACCACATTTGTTGTTGTTGACGTTCCTGTAAAGTGGAATTAATTCAAATAAATCCATAAAAAATTTGATATAAAAATTGTAGACCTGAATATTAATGAATACATAAAATGAGAATAACTTATAATGATTGAAATATGATTGAAATTTTCTCAAATTCATTAGCAACTTTCCATTGCTGAAATTCAGATGTATTTACATTTTATGGTAAACATTTTTTACATGTATTTGGAGTAATGATAGTTATATAACATTGAAAATCAGCAATACAATAAACTCCGCTTATAACGAACTGATTGGGGACATTCAAAATCTGTTCCTTATATCCGGAGTTCCTTGAATTAGTTCCTTGTATCAGGAGTTTTTATAGCGAACAGATTTACATATATTGAACTGATTGTTAAACATCGTCTGCCATTTTGAAGAACATTTGATTAAGAATAATTAGCCATTTATTTTTATTTTTTAGACACAATACCGAAGAGTGTACATTTTGGAATTTGAAAATCCTTCGCTATTTCCGTTTTAGTTTTACTCCCTTTCTCAATTTCTCATAAAATATCATATTTTGTTTCTTAACTCAGTGGTTTTCGATTTCTTTCCATGAATAAGAATAATAAAGATTTTCCATTTTTTCTTCCTTTTATATTGAACACTTCTATTATATTTAAGGGTGACTTTAATAATGAAATATATAAATTTCTTTTCATTTCAATCAAGCATACTTTGAAGTTTTCTATGGATTATGTTTGCAAGCATGCATGATTATGTTGAAAACCGATTTAAAATGATTATAATTATTTTTCTCGAGCAAAACTATTAAAGAAAAGAAATAATAGAATAAAAAGAATTACCGTTTTATCTTTGTGACAAGAACTTATGCTAAAATATCCTAAATAAAAAACTATTACATACTTCTATACAAATTAATTTTCATAGATATACTGAATAACATACAACAATAAATGGTACATTTCCGAGTTTTAATCCGTGCCAATGAAAACGAAGGTTGAAAATGCGGGATATATTTACAAATAGCCGATATTTTGGAGTTCGTATTAAAAGTGTAATTTTCTGCACTTTTAACTAAATTGGGACTAAGAAATGAGTTCCTTATAAGCGATAATTCCTTATAACCATTCGCTATAACCGTATATTAAATAAAGAAGGGCAAAATTCGGGCCAAAATAAATTGTCCCTTATAACCCGAAGTTTGCTATAATTGAAGTTTACTGTATTATTTGATGAAGAATGTATTACAATGTCTGTCAACCATTGCCTTTGTGTAAGATTTAGTCAAATTTAGATTTTCAATAATACTAAGACTGATTTAAGTTTTCATTATTGGAATTATTATGTCAGAGAGTTAAAGAAAATTAAAATATTCATAAATTGATGATGTCACATTAGATATCAAGTAATATATATCAGTATGCCATAAAGTAAATGACTTTTATTGTAAGGCATGTGATTAAAACAGCCTTCAGGTTTTCTAAAGGTTAAATATGTTTTTTATTTTTAGATAAATCGTTTCATATAATTGTCAAATCAGTTGGAATATTAAATTTGCCAACGATAAAATGCATTTAACAATAAGGAATCTAAGCTACTTGTCCACTCAGTTAATTCTGTAAAATGGACAATTTGTTCCCCGATCTTTTATTTTTGGAAATGAATGTCACTGACATGTTATAATTAGCTCTTAGGTTGCTGTTAAGCAGGCTTAACAATGATATGATGCACTTTTCCAAGATAAAATTATCAAAATACCTAGTTTGAAACAACACATAATTATATTTCCAACAGAAACTTAAAGCTAAAGGCCACTTTAATATTGATATTGAATACCTCACATTGAAATACTCATTCTGTTATTCAGTTATTCATTTATTCATGTATTTGTGTAACCACTTTAATATATAATTATAATTTTCATATTTTACCTTTTTGTCCTGTCTTTACATTTTCACTGCTAGATATCTGTCTAGAGAGGAGATTTAGGACTTGTTGTTCTAGAAGTTCTATCTTAATCTGTTGCTCTCTTCCTATATATGATACATGTATGAAATAGTGATTTATTCAGACTTTTCTTGTATTTAGTGTCGCTCTTCTAGGCACAAAGTGTTTAAATTAGAGCTGTTGTCTGTCCTAAGTCATTTCTTGATAGCACCAATTCCTTTAAACAATTTATACTTCAAATTTAATGTCTAGATTTTGGAATAAATAAAAATAGTGGCTAATTAATAATGTGACTGCTTTACGTAACTCAGTAAATTCTTTTGTGCAGTTTTGTTAGCAAGATAAATCTTCACAGTCAATGAATGTTATTATTATAAAACTAAACAGAATTAGATAGGCTGATGAACTATTCATGTGTTATATACATGTAATTCCTGAAATATACTCTTACACATATACACAATATACAGTGTCGCATTATTCTGTCTTACAGTCTTACTCAGTATATAAACTTTATAAAATATTAACCTACAAAATAACATAAAATGTTGAAAATAAATGATTGATACATATCATAGATAGCATTTTGATGAATATCGACTATTCAATGTTTACTATCACACAAAATGTATTGAAAACTGCCTATCACAGTACTTAAGATAAAAGTTGTTACCTTTACTCTCCAGACTCTCTATCCTGTTGTATAGGGTCTTTGACAGTAAAAAATCTGTATTTCCTACACATAGTATGATTATTACCAGTGCTAATAATATTGTTGGAATAAAGCTAACACTTGTTACCCTGTCCATGATTGTTTATAAAATATACCTGTAACACTAAAGTTATCATTAAGGTAGTGTTTGATTTAAAAATCCTACTGATAACAGATTATTTATTATTCGACCATTTGATATGATTGTATAAGATGATAAATCTGTTTAAAGTTCAAAGATTTTTTAAATGTTTCAATATTAGTAGTATTAGAAACTGTCGCAGTCAGTGATAAACAAAAACTCTGAAAACATTTTTATCTTTTTATCCTATACCCTTTGAGGCATTTTTTTAAAACTTGGTTTAAATGTTAATTAACAAGGGAATGTGCAAAACACATTCTGCCACTGCTTCAGTGCAGACTCAATGTCTTTCTTGAAGGTCAAATTTGGAATATTTTATGTCTGCACTATAAAGTCTATACTTTTCAAATTACCTTTTTGTCAACCTTAACTCAAAGGTTTTCTTGGAAAAAAAATGATCTTGTGCAACATAAAATGCTGTGTCATAGAGATCAGGTGGGGATCCTGTGTCATAGACTTTTTAGGCACGAATGGGTCCCTGAGTAGAACCACCGAGGTTCTGTAAGCTGGCTGGATAGCTTCCTCACATGGAAGAATCCAAAGTCCCTGTTGGGATTCTAACCAACAGCAGTGATGTGCAAGTGGTTTAAAGTCAACAATCTGAACCATTTGACCACTGATGCCCATCTGTCTTACAATATTTATTGCTATGGTAACAAAGATTTTTAAAACCTAATTCAAAAGATTGATCATGATATGATTGAAATAGTATTCATGCTAGGCTACACATACATACATATATGCGACAATAACAATGTCGCATACACATTTATTACCCTTCCAGATTTTTTCCACCTATTTGATTGGATATGGATCCGTCGAAAGAAATTGATATTACCGAGCCAGACGGGTAATATACACACTTAATATACCCGTTTGGTACCCCACTTTGTAAACAACATGCGTTGTGGCGATGCGCGTACGGTTCGATTTTATGCGGTGTAAATTCCAATATACAAGCACTTTTTAAATGTCAAATGAAAAATATTTACCAAAAGAAAGTAATGATGAATATTCTCATCAGTGTGACCTCGCCAATGCTTGATATTAATTACAAAAAAGTGTCTTCGACAGACTACCCCTTTTCTCTTGTTTACATTCGTTAGGTACGTAAGCAAATACGTCATGTATTTATGTGACGTCATGTTGTGGTGAAGGGGTACCCTAAAGGGAATATTATTTCGACGTTACAATTTAAACAGCAATGATTTATTTTAAAATCTTTCTCGGCATGGGAATGGTAATAAAATTTTTATTTTGGTTTTGGAGTGATATATAGAGAATAACAGGTTACTGTCTTTTGAGAAAGGGTTTCTCAGACGAGGTTAGATATGGTCCTGGAAGGGGCGAGGCTTGCCGAGCCCCTTCCGGACCATATCTAGCCGAGTCTGAGAAATCCCTTTCTCAAAAGACAGTAACCTGTTATTCTTTTTATCATGTCTCTATTATGATTTTGCATCTTATTTTTTTAATTCGGGGCGCTAATTTCTGAAAGTACGGTAACCACAAGAGGGTTATACGCCAAAAAAGTAGTCCGAGGGTTTTTACCAATAATTTTATAACACAACACAATTTTTGGTACAATTTGCTTTAACAATTTATTTACTGTGTATTATCATAAATATTCAGCATAGTTAATTAAACAATACCAACAATAAACATCATCAGTGCTGATCTGGCGTAGGAACATAGTGTTCTCAAGTCACTGACTGAGAAAGGTTGCTGTTCTCAGACAGGCTTTATCAGGCAGTTGTCATAGTAATGGCATGATAAATGTGGATATATTACCTGGCAAGATTTTATATCACCCTCGCCGTTATAAAATCTTGCCAGGTAATATATCCACATATATCACTCCAAAACCAAAATAACATATAATATCACTTAATTTATAAGATCATGCAGTGATGGTGCTGTTTTTACAATTGTCTAAAAATAACGGAAATTGCACTGTCAAATTGGTAGGGTGACTTGTATATAATATAATAGTGGACTTGTTGCTTGCAATATCAGTGACTTGCTTTGAAGAGAAATAAGAAGTCTTTTTATTATCAAAGTCATATTTGGAGGTGAAAGTTTTTTCCCCCAACATTATATAATAACTGATTGTTTTTTCTGTTTCAGATATTCTGGTTTCTACCCCAAATAGACTGATATATCTTCTCAAACAACAACCTGCAGTCATTTCCCTCACAAGGTAATAATATCTACAAATAATGTCTTTGTTATATGTTTTTTAATTTGATTAGTAGCAAAAATATGGATTTTGAAGCTTTTGGAAAGAAACATTAAAGTCATAGTCGTCTTTGTATGAAATAATGCTTGTTGTTATAATAACCCTATGCAATTTAGAAAGAAATTTAATATTAAATGCTTTTTATCCAACTTTCTCAGTATTGTGCTGTGACACACAGTGTGGAGTCTTTCACTGTCACATTGAAAGTTCGAGCCAACCAAGTCACAGACACTTGGGATGTGGAGCTTTAAGACCTTAAAATCCAAATAAAATGTATATTTGTCAATCCCAGCACATGTACTTATCATATACATGTATATTTAGGATTGACAAATACACATTTTATTCGGATTTCAAGGCTTTTGGAGCTCTACTGTTCAAGTGTCTGTGGATGGTTCTAAATTCAAAATTTCACCATAATATTTATACTTTTTTAACAAGATGATAATTTTAATTATTATTGATACACATGAAACATTATAAAATATAGTTCAAGTTCAAATTTGACTTTGGACAACTTTTTAAATTGCAAGTCACTTTTAGTAATAGCTCTAGTTACTAGTCGTGTAAAAGAGGCACAAAGGTGTGTTAAAGCATACATGTATATGTTTATATTTATTATTCTGGATATTAAATTTATTGTTGGGAGCTAAATGTTGATTCAGGCTTGTGTGGCTAAGTGAAGCAATGTCAGTGAAATAGAAGCTTGAGGATAGGTTTACATATATTAACCCTTGTTGTTATAAATAAGCAGTATTTGTTTCCATTGTTTACAGTGTGCAGTGGTTAGTGGTAGATGAATCGGACAAATTATTTGAAGAAGGAAAGACAGGTTTCAGGGATCAGGTTAGTGTCATTCTTCATACTGTATGATATATGATATATTTAGAAGCACCTGTGTGACAGAGTAATTGAAAATGCGTTCTCAGATTTGCTTGATCTTATCTCTCTTAGTTTTGATATAGAATTGTCATAGATTTCTCTATCGTCACAAAACTAAACAGTTTCTTAATGAAGTTTAGTGGTCATGACCTTAAAATATTACAAAGAGGATGGCCTAAGTCTTTTTCTCCCTGAAAGGGCATTAGTTAAACGACAAAGTTCGAAAGCTTGAAAGGCATTAGTTAAACGACGAAGTTCGAAAGCTTGAAAGGCATTAGTTAACCCTATAAGTTTGAGTCCTACTTCTTGTAACCTCAGTAGAGCTTTTACTATAGTGAGCAATGTGAAAGAAAACATATCTAATCTATCAAGAGTGGAAGGCTGATGGTTAATTTTTTTGTTTTAAATATATGACAGAAGCACAGTGTACTGTACTATACCTAAGAGTACATCAGGTTTAAAATTTTAATTAATACAAAATATTTCTTTATTTCTATGAAAAAGAATAAATATATTTCCATATTAATGCTCGAGTGATCATTATTTTCAGCTTGCCACTATATACAAGTCATGTGATGGAACTAACCTTAGAAGAGCAATGTTCAGTGCTACATTTGCGTATGATGTTGAGGACTGGTGTAAACTTAACCTTGACAATGTAATACAGGTGTATGTAGGTGCAAGGTAAGAAATATTTTGTTGTCACAGTTCTCGCCGACTTCAAATCCACAGCTGAAGATTTCTTACTACAGCTAGAATTATTTTGATTTAATTTATATTCAATGTGTAATCCTACAAGTTGGTTCCAACATTTCACCAGATTCTCTTCTCTTGTGAAATTTATGTACAATTTTTAGTTGACCAATAGAATGGTTTTATAAAAAGACAAAATTTTGAATCTTCCAAGTACTTGTTTAATATTTTATAAAAGCAAAAGGGTTAGTAATAACACTAGTCTTGTTATAACATGTAGTTTTAAACCAAGATCTTTCCCATTGAATCTATTGTTTTTATTTGAATTTTTTTTTGTAATCTTTTCTTGTTTAGGAATTCTGCAACAAAGACAATAGAGCAGTCATTATTATTTTGTGGAACAGAATCAGGCAAACTTATAGCTATCAGGGATATTATACGAAAGGTGATACACTATAATTGTCCTTTTTATATAGTAACTAAATGCTATATATTTTTTTGGTACATATTTTTTCTGAGTAGATACTAGAAAGTATATCAAGTTTACTATGTAAATCATTTAACTGGTGTTTAATACAGCATGATTTTACTTGACACTTAGCTTTATCTATTAATCAGTTGAAACTGAAAGTGGTTAGCCGTTGTTTTTGAAACCACAAAAATCAAATCAACTACAAAAATTATGCAGATTAAGGGTTAAAAGTAACAACTATTCCTAATTTTGAATTCAGACTAATCAACTACACAACTTGGTTAAAAGTAATTTTTATAAGTTGTCAGTCTTGTTATGCCCCCATTTCGAAGAAAAGGGGGTATATTGCTTTGCACTTGTCGGTCCGTCGGTCCGTAGACCAAATGGTTTCCGAGTGATAACTAAAGAACCCTTAGGCCTAGGAACTTCAAACTTGGTATGGTGATTGGTCATGACCAGTAGATGACCCCTATTGATTTTGGGGTCAAGGGGTCAAAGGTCAAGGTCACATTGACCTTGTAAGCAAAAACGGTTTCCGATCAATAACTAAAGAACCTTAAGGCCTAGGAACTTCAAACTTGGTATGGTGATTGGTCATGATCAGTAGATGACCCCTATTGATTTTGGGGTCAAGGGGTCAAAGGTCAAGGTCACATTGACCTTGTAAGCAAAAACGGTTTCCGATCAATAACTAAAGAACCTTAAGGCTAGGAACTTCAAATTTGGTATGGTGATTGGTCATGATCAGTAGATGACCCCTATTGATTTTGGGGTCAAGGGGTCAAAGGTCAAGGTCACATTGACCTTGTAAGCAAAAAACGGTTTCCGATCAATAACTAAAGAACTTTAAGGCCTAGGAACTTCAAACTTGGTATGGTGATTGGTCATGATCAGTAGATGACCCTATTGACTTTGGGGTCAAGGGGTCAAAGGTCAAAGTCACATTGACCTTGAAAGCAAAAAACGGTTTCCGATCAATAACTAAAGAACTTTAAGGCCTAGGAACTTCAAACTTGGTATGGTGATTGATCATGATCAGTAGATGACCCCTATTGATTTTGGGGTCAAGGGGTCAAAGGTCAAGGTCACATTGACCACTTGGGTAAAAACGGTTTCTGATCAATAACTAAAGAACCTTAAGGCCTAGGAACTTCAAACTTGGTATGGTGATTGGTCATGATCAGTAGATGACCCCTATTGATTTTGGGGTCAAGGGGTCAAAGGTCAAGGTTACATTGACCTTGCAAGCAAAAACGGTTTCCGATCAATAACTAAAGAACTTTAAGGCCTAGGAACTTCAAACTTGGTATGGTGATTGGTCATGATCAGTAGATGACCCTATTGACTTTGGGGTCAAGGGGTCAAAGGTCAAGGTCACATTGACCTTGAAAGCAAAAACGGTTTCCGATCAATAACTAAAGAACTTTAAGGCCTAGGAACTTCAAACTTGATATGGTGATTGGTCATGATCAGTAGATGACCCCTATTGATTTTGGGGACAAGGGGTCAAAGGTCAAGGTCACATTGACCTCTTGGGTAAAAACGGTTTCTGATCAATAACGAAAGAACCCTAAGGCATAGGAACTTCAAACTTGGTATGGTGATTGGTCATGACCAGCAGATGACCTCTATTGATTTTGGGGTTAAGGGGTCAAAGGTCAAGGTCACATTGATCTTGTAGGTAAAAATTGTTTCCGATAAATAACTAAAGAACCCTTAGGCCTAGAAACTTCAAACTTGGTATGGTGATTGGTCATGACCAGCAGATGACCCCTATTGATTTTGGGGTTAAGGGGTCAAAGGGCAAGGTCACATTGACCTTGTAGGTAAAAATGCTTTCCAATAAATAACTTAAGAACCCTAAGGCCTAGGAACTTCGAACTTGGTATGGTGATAGGTCATGACCAGCAGATGACCTATTGATTTTGGGGTCAAGGGGTCAAAGGTCAAGGTCACATTGACCTTGTAGGTAAAAACGGTTTCCGATCAATTAACTAAAAAAGCTTAGGCCTAGGAACTTCAAACTTTGTATGATAATTGGTCATGACCAGCAGATGACCCCTATTGAGTTTTGGGTCAAGGGGTCAAAGGTCAAGGTCACATTGACCTTGAAGGTAAAAACGGTTTCCGATCATTTAATTAAAAACGCTTAGGCCTAGGAACTTCAAACTTTGTATGATGATTGGTCGTGACCAGCAGATGACCCCTATTGAGTTTTTGGTCAAGGGGTCAAAGGTTAAGGTCATGACCAGTAGATACTTGATAACACTTATTAATTGTTTGATCACTGGGTCAGAAGTCATGCATAATAACCTTATCACATGACTAATTGGCTGCTGATAGGGGGCATACATGTTTTACAAACATATCTTGTGTTAGAATATGTTTCATTGATCATTCAGTTTAGCAGCAATAGGGAAAACTCTCTGAACTGGGAATTGATAAGCTGGTATGTAAAATGATGATGGATTAACAAATTTGGTCCATATTGCTTTAAAAAATGAACTAAGGGGCGTATGACATTATTGAAAAGTGTTGATTGCTAAATATATTATATTATTGAATATAATATGTGTTTTACATTGTGTAGGGTATACAGCCTCCAGTGTTAGTGTTTGTACAGTCTAAAGAAAGAGCGAAGGAATTGTTCCATGAGTTGATCTATGATGGTATGAATGTAGATGTGATACACGCAGATAGAACACAGTTACAGGTAATTTTGTTGCGTCATGTTTTTTTTAACAATTTAGTTTTAGAAGCTAGTAACAAAAATGACTTGCCTTTAATATAGGATACATGAATTTTATACAAACTGTTAGTATAGACCAGAACTCAGGGGTTAGTGTTTATGGTGGCAACGAGGCTCTGTCAAGTTTCAGGTACACAGTTACCTGCAGGCAGAATATTTATGTCTGTGATGACAGCCAGATTTTGATTCTTATTTTTGCATATTTAGCAAAATTTTGAAAACAAAATTGTGACAATCAATATTTTTATTCAACATTTTTTTCTTACAGTAATGTACATATCAGCTTACAACTTCATTCATAATGATGGTATGTCATAATCTTAAAAATGAAAGTCATTTATAAAAGTACAAGCATGTAGCTGAAATGATGTCATTTTAAGGCAGCCGACTCTAGTAACATGGGGGTGTTAAAGTCAAAATTTTCATTTCTTAATTTTGAATTTTTCATTCATTATTCTGTAAATGCCCTCAAAATGAATATATTAGACAGTCAAAGGAACAAAACTTTTCTCTATATAAAGAATAAAATGGTGGTTTCCTAACTTGACCTGCGTGGGTCAGGTTAGAGCGCTAGCATTTCACAATAGTTGTAAAAGTGAACTCTGTAAACGCTATAGAACATGTCAAATTAATGACTTAGGCTTGTTTCAATCATGCAATATCCACAATATCTGTTATTGTAACTTCAAAGGTTTGTTCAAGTCACCTGACTTGTTTCAAAACTATTTGGTGATTCTATTGGCGTGTACATTTTGTTCAACATATATAGATATATTTACGCTTCAAACCCAAAATATATAGAATTTAAACAGAAATTCATGCTGAAACTTCAAGAAAAGTCATTTTAGCGTGACTTCAGTATATAAGATCATTTTAATAGTTTTGTCATTATTTTGCCTGAATATCCCTTTCAATGATATTTTCTGGCACAGGTGAAAAAAATCTAGAAAATTCAGTCTGATATGAAAGAGCTATGCTAGTTTGTATTTGAGTATGGTCTGACTGGACTCTGTAAACAGTTTCTTATTACATTTCAACATTCTTGTATTAAGATTCCTACATTAAAATTCAAAGCAGGGAAAGGTAACTACACAAAACTTTGTCTGCATATGAATGTAGTGTTATGGTTATTGTTCTGTATATGACACCAGTATAGGTCAGTCAGTCAGTCAAACAGACTAACAAGTGATTAAATAAGTATAAAAAGATATTTTACAATCAAACTTAAAGCAACATTGCTCCAGAAGATAACAGATAATCTACTGTTGTATTAATATTTCAAATTTAAATACATAAAATAATTGAAAGAAATCGAAATATCACTACAACATGCATATTTTTTACATTTTTGCTCCGAAAACAGTGTGCTGTTTCACCAAAGGGATAATACCTGCTTTAAATACACTACAGAATTCTTTTATCTGGACTATTTCTAGTACCATGTGATAATAGGAGATACAGCATCATATTGACCTATTTCTTTTATATGTTTTCTCATGGTTTTGTAAATTATACAAACTTTGTGTTATTGTATTTAAATTGAAATTGAAAATCTTGAATCAGGATTGTGTTAAACATATAGGGAAACAAATAAACTGCTTTTGATTTTAATATTTGTAGTAATTTGTGACAATTATCTAAAGTTACAAGGTCTCCATGTAAGTGTATGCCTTCATTAAATGACTTTGCCCTCAGAATAGTGTGTTTATTTCTGTGATATATCCCTATAAACAATGAATGAGAATCATTTTGCACTCTCTGCACTATTCTGAGTAATGCTAGAATCATGTACATTTGAGCCGCATCATGACAAAACCAACATAGTGCGTTTGCGACCAGCATGGATCCAGACCAGCCTGCGCATCCGCGCAGTCTGATCAGGATCCATGCTGTTCGCTATCAGTTTCTCTACTTGTAATAGGGTTGGTAAACGAACAGCATGGATCCTGATAGTGCGCATCCGCGCAGTCTGATCAGGATCCATGCTGGTCGCAAACCCATTATGTTGGTTTTGTCATGACAAGGCTCATTTCTTTTGATCTTAAAGTTAAAATTCTTATTAAATTTATTTTTCAGAGAGATAATGTAATAAAAAGTTTCCGAGCTGGAAAGATCTGGATTTTAATTTGCACGGAGCTGATGGGTCGTGGTATTGATTTTAAAGGAGTGAATCTTGTGATCAATTACGATTTTCCTAACAGTGCAATCAGCTACATTCACAGGATAGGTAAAGATTGAATTTATTGGGGATTGAATTTCTGCTTCGCAAGCTCAGCAATGTGTTAATGATCGAATAAGTCTTAAAAACAATTTTTTTTATTAAATGACATTAAAGTTCCTAATTGCATATTGGGTATTTAGGTTATACATGCAGATATTTTTAGCTTTAGATTTTCAAAAGCTCTGAAATAAAGTGTATAGATAGAGCAATCAGTGTATATACATTATTGATACATGCTCCTAAAGCATTTTATTCTCATTATTTTTATTACATATTTTTTATTGTGCATAAATATAGTAAACTTTTGTTTTAACATATAAGTTAAAACTTAAATAGCTCTCAAAAAAATTTCTATTTCCTAACTTGTTGTAACTTGTATAAAACCATTTCCAACTTTGATAAGACGCAAGCTTATAAGCATGTAAGGCAAAACTAACAGACTTTTGGTTAACAGTGTATGGTATTAATAGCCTTCATATCTGTTCAGACTGACCAAGCTCTTGTATATGTTAACAGTTTGATCAGACATTATTTATACTATAAGCTGTCCAATTTTAGTATTTAGATACAGAACTCCCATTTAACCAAAAAATGAAATGTTCCAAATTCAAAGCCGGAACTCCCATTTACATGTAATTAAAAATGAAATGCTCTATTTTTAAAGCCTTTTCTTTCAGAGGAAAAAAAATTGCATTAATTTCTATTGCATAATGTGTCTTTAAGAATGGTAACAAATAGGTTAAAATAAGTAAGAAAATGTATAAGTTATGGAATGGTTTATATTTCAGGTAGGACAGGTCGAGCTGGGAGATCTGGTAAAGCTGTTACCTTCTTTACAGAGGATGATGGTGTTTATTTAAGAAGGTAAATATTATATAACTTTAACATATGATGTAGCTTATAGATCAGTTTGATATTGAGATCAGGATCTGTCATGATTTAGTATTTTATGTAAACTGTTATATAGTGAGTGCAGGAAAATGTTGCAATTATATGTAATTGCAAGATTGTCAGATTTTTAAAAAAGCATAGAAACTGAAAAACATTTTTTTTTCATATTAAACAATTTCGCACTAAGTGCACACTAAATTAGGAATTATTCCACATATTAATTGATAGCCTAATGCTGCCTTTCAACTGTTTGCCTTTCAACCAAAGGATCAATGGTTTGAGACCTATCGGGGATCATGCCCATGCTCATTTTTCGGACACCAATGATAATAAGTACATAGAGAGGACAAAAGGTTCAAATAAATTCAAGCTTTTATTATAAAGATATAAATGTACTTAAATGTTTAACTTAATCAGTACATGTATTTTATTACATTTACAAATTTGTCTAGATTATGTTGCTATGAAGTACATGCCCATTTCTTTTGTTATAATAACATGAATATTGCTTTTTTTGCAATTATTATATTACTTACAGAAACATGTAAAGAAATGCCTGCTTTGCATTGAAACCTTAATTGTACTCTTTGCTGCAAGTGTACACTACCATTCTGAGTATAACGTTGATTCTACTTTTTGCTACAGGTATACAGTACCATGATGTGAGTATCTGCAATATTGACGTCCTTGCTGAAACTTTCATAATGTCTTTCTTTGTATATTTCAGTATAGCCAATGTAATGAGAACTGCTGGATGCCCAGTACCAGATTATATGCTTAAAATTAATCAACCATCAAGGTGAGAGCTCATCATATAGCTTTATATTTTATGTTATCAAAATTTGATTTAAAAGTTTACAGATTTAAAAAAAGAAAAGATTTGAGGGAAACATATTTTTGGCATAATTTTTGCCTGACTTGGTCATTGACACAGTTCAGGTTGTTCCAAGTGTTTGTTCATTCCTCAAATGATACACAGAGGGACTTTTGAGGTCACCAGCAAAACTAGTGTTTACTTTGAAGCCTAAACAGTTCATTTGATGATTAAAGTGAAAATACAAAATCAAAGAAAAACCAGTAAGGACGTAATATTGCAAATTAATTTTATCAATAAGATTTTGGAGTGCTTAGTTGCAACTCACCGCTATACGTTCATATTCTTGTAGAAATGGTATGAATTAAAGCTGGAAGATTCTGTTTGACCTTAACATTGACCATAACATTTTGGAAGAACCGAAAATCCAACCTAATACCAGCCATTATTCCTGCTCTACTATTACTTAGATCTCTATGTATGTATATTTTTGTTACAGGCAAGATAGAAAGAAACTGTCAAAAGCTGCAATAAAAAGGAAGAAAATTTCTACAGTGACAAAATATGACCTACAGAAGAATAAACATAAAAGGTAAGTAGGAAATGTAGACTCTAGATGTTCTTTTATTAAACCTGTAATCCATCCTTCCGTCACAAATACTGTTTCCCATTGCACCTTGATTTAGTGATTGATATCTTGAGGGCACGTCGGGTCTTCCTCCACAAGTAAAGCCGGAAAATCGCCATATGACCTATACTGTGTTTGTATGTATTTCTACCCAAAAGTCAAATTAATGAAATGAAAATTGTTGCAGTTGTATATTGAGGGTTTCATGGACTCCAAATTCTCTATATGAGGAAGCTGTTAAAATGGAAGGTTGGTAGTTCTTTCCAGATGCCCGAGCTTGCCTGAAAAAATGCACAGAAGAGTCTATGGAAAGTGCACATTATATGAAGTTAACAATGTGAGATTTAAACTGAAACTAAAACCTCAATGGTCTTACACACATATTTGTATCAACATGTAATATTAGTACTAGAAAACAAAAGTATTTTTATGGTATTTTTTCAGGAAAATTATATATGATACAAAGAAAAAGACATTAAAATCACAGGGACAAGGGGAACCTAACAATGACTCTACTTCTAACAGTGATGGACAGAAAGTGAAACTAGGAAAACGAACACATCCTGACACTGATAATAGTGATGCAAAGAAAAGAAAATTTGAGAAAAAGCAAAACCTTGTGAAATCAATTCAGATGAAATTTAAAGGTAAAAAGCCAGGGCATTTAAGACATAAAAATAAAGGAAAGTCAGGGAATAAAACTCAAGGAAAAGATAAACAGAGAAAAGGAAAAGCACCAAGTGATTGAGAATTTGGTTTTGCAAATAATTCTGTAGACTTTGCTGGCGCGATTTTCCGAGAATTTAAAACAACTGTGAGGATAAAGATATGGAAAATGTTGAATATTCCAGATTTGTAATGTTTCAAGATAGAAATATATAGTTATGAATGGTGATTGCCGAATAATTTTGATTGTTTAAATACTAAATGCCTCTTTTATGACAATTCTAGTATTTAATATTTTATTAAAGTTGCTGAGTAATATTATGAAAAGAATTGTTAAGGAATAAAATGCAAATTTACATGTGATGTTGATATTTATTTTACAACTTATAAAACTTTGTTGGCATATTTGCATATGAAACATACGTTTTAACCAATGTCAAGTATGAAATATGATGTCCAAATAGTTTAAAAACATAGCAAACAAAAAAAGTATGTATTATCACAAGCATTTGTGAGATTATCCTTCATACTAGGTTTCAGAGCAGATCAAAATAGTCCTTAACTTGCTAAATTTCTCAATTGAACTTGGCTAGGTTTCATTTTGGACCTGTCCATTTTCAATTTTGGGGATAAATTTTGTCATGATTGCATGGATTTGCAGGCTGGCCAGGCTCTATACTGGTGGAATAGACTAATTATCACTTTTGGTTTTGACAGGGTAGTGTATAGGCATTATACATGCAGATTCAGAATTTTATTTAAAGTCTTTGTATCATATGAATATTAATGAAGTATACGCACTGAAAATGAGTGGCGGCCTGGCTGAGTGGTTAGAATATCTGACTTGTTATCCAGGGATTGCTGGAGGCATTGGTTTGATAGGTAGAGAGTTGAACTGTGCATTGGGCGACCTGGGTTTGATTCCCAGATCAATTTTGTTGTGATTTATCATTAAATCCTTTCTATGGTCATATGCATTGTACATCTGCTCTGGCATGTACAGAAGTTATCAGTCCCTTGCAAATGTGAAGGCAACTATAACTCATTGATGGATTGCCTAGCAACAATGCAGTGGCTGAACTGTGCTCTGGTAAATTTAATGCCGTGATCCGGAGTGAAAACTACCAACAACACCATATTGAAGGTGTATTCAAAATGCAGGCTGACTGGGCTTCATCCTGATAGCATAAGACAGTAATAGGTGCATGTAGCATTTAAATGGTCAATTGATCAACTGGATTTGACTATTGATGCAAATATAAATAGATAAATAAAAATAATAAAAAAAACAATTTTCTTAAGATATAACCTTAATAAGTAAATACAACCTGAAATATACCCATTTTATATAAATGAATACATAGAACATCCCAGACTTTATTTTGCATCTAAAAAGTTCAATAAAATCTCTATACTTACCTATAACAAGATAATAAAGTTCTTGCTTATTTTTATGGTAGCATGTGAAAGATACATTACTTGTAGCCACATTATGTCTATCTCCTGTTACAAACATGTTATTATCTCATTTTATTACACAATTACATTCTTGGAATTCCTCGCGAGGAAATAAAAATCTTCCTGTAACTTCTGCATTGATTTTCTATTTAATAATTAATTCACTGCTGTAATTACGAAACATAGGTAATATTACCTGTTCCTTTAAAAATATACATCTGGTAAAGGTAGGTGGTATTTTCAGCATCATTAAAAGATTGTTGGAAAAGACGGAATATATTTTCATAGCCGCAGGAAGAGGGCTTGATATATTATATATGGGGTCGGGGATCATATACAATTACATTTACTTTACACTGTCTGCTCATAGACTTGGGGAATCATTGGCCGAGTGGTTAAGGTCGTTGACTTCAAACCACTTGTCCCCCCCTGACTGCTTGGGGTTCGGATCCCAACGGGGACTTCGGATTCTTTCATGTGAGGAAGCTATCCAGCTAGCTTGTGGAACGTTGGTGGTTCTACTCAGGTGCCCGTTTGTGCCTAAAATAATGCACAGAAGGCCACCTGAGGTCTTCCTCCACCTGTAAAAATTGTGGGATGTAAGGACATCTGTGTCCTATGGACACATTTCTGTCATCGTATATATGTCACATAGAGCATTTAGATGTGGAGGACATGTTAGTTCTACTATAAAATTTTGGACGAGTTTGTTAAATATGGCTGATAATTATGCTGTAGGAAGTGAGAATTCAAGTTAATCAGAGGGAAAGAATAATTATATGACATTGCAGAATTGCAGATTTATAATATGCTATATAAACTGTCCTTGCATCTATTTTTCATCAGATAATGACAGGAATGAAATTTGATACACTACAAATAAAGACTGACAATTATTTTCCATTACTGATAGTGGATGCTATACAATCTGAAAATGAAATAGATAAACTTATTTCAAATACAAACTGAGACCAGACTGTTAGTAGCTAAGAAATACATCATTAGATAACTTTTAGCTTTGCAGGAGTTCTGTTACCTGAGATGTATAAACAAATTCAGTGGTTGTTGTCACTCAATTACTGGTGTTTCATCCCTTATCAAAGTGGATAATCAGATTTCACCTGAAAATGATTATGTCATCAGCTCAAATTTTTGCTTAATAAACAATTTAAACTTCCCTGTTTGACAGTAAATAAATAACTAAAGGGAAGTAAAACAAATTATCATTGTGCTTTAGGTTTTCTCAAACTGAATTATGCATGTTTACAATAACAAAGAAATATTTTGTGAATGATAAAATCTGTACACTTTTAGTAAGAATTTGGAATATTTCTTGTTGTTTTTTTCCAGCAAATATATTTGTTTTATGTTTATCATGATCTAAGTGAGATTTCAGCCAAAGTACTTAATTCATTTTTGGTATTTTATTTTCATATAAGATGAGTGTTGCTGTGTTAATATATCAAAAGTAAAATATTCCTGAATTACAGTTAACACCCTTTCAGAATTGGTATTAACATATAGTTAGAATCATATTTACTACATTCAAGTGCAAGCAAGATTAAAGTTGTGACCTTTAAACCATGTATATAAGAAAGCCTAAGATAGATATATGTGGTAATAAGCCAGCATGCATAGCTTAATTGGTTAGAGCACAAGACTTGTAATCTGGACATTATGGGTTTGGTTCCCAGACGGGCCAGCTAAATTTTCTAAAACAGTCTTTCGGATGGACTTAAAAGTGAGGTCCAGTGTTTAAGTGCTTAAACACTAAAGAACCAGGAGAAGCTTCGAGAAGCTTCTATATCTTGCAATATCCTCAAAAGATCTAAAATGACTAATATTCTTCTGGAGGACTTGCCCATATGGGCAACCAGTGGCAAATATAAATAAACTGGAATACACACACACATATGTGGATAACTGAACATTCTTTGTCATGTTGTCCTTAAGGGACCTATGGCTTTGAGTTTATGGACCTGTCCCAAGATAGTGTGTCTCCAGATGCCAATTCTTATTTTTGTATGATATATTGCCGGTTTTAGCTCACAATCCACTACCAGTGAAGATAGAAAGTTAATAGTGGTATGACTTAATTTCCAGCAGAAAAAGAAATAAAAGCTTAATGAATGGTCAAGTATTGCAACTGAATGTCCCTACTGTATAACTCTAAAATGAACAGTTCTAACTTAATTTGCAATGTAATAAAAAGTTTAGATGGCCTTTATATATACATACTAAAAAGTGCTGTTTAATACCACCAGGCCGTTTTATAGCTTAAAATAAACTTTAAAGATCATTGTAAAAGTTAGGTTTTTATCACCTTCTACAACTTGTTTTATTGTCTATTAGATTTTGCCATGGTCATTAATGTTTTACATCTATATTGTATGGCACAGAGGGTATAAAGTTAAACTGCTATTATATCCAGGCCCTATGGCTAAATCCTATTTACTTATTTTTGTTTTCACGCTTGGTTAAAGCAATGTTAAAGCTATATAGAAGGTAAATTAAAACATCGCTGCAACTTGTTCCTTATTTTTAGGCCGTGTCTACACCTATTCAAGTTTCTTACATGTCACATTTTAGATAAGCTAAATATAAATGGCCCTTACAACAAATAATCAGGCACAATTTTTACTGAAATGTCTCATTAAGATAGCCCAGGATTTATACCTTTGTCTTTGCAAGACTATCATGTTTCTGTAAAATATGTGAAAAAAGCGGGTAAATGATGGAATTAGCTAAAACAGAATGGAGTTAATGAAATCTGTTCATTCTTTTTTAAAATTGAAAATATGTGACAAAAAATTATTTTGATGCAAATTCTTAATTTGAGGAAAGTTATTCACTAAATGAATAAGATCATTTTAAATCCATTTTGACTTTACTTGAAAAAGGGCTCTTTTTTATTTTTTTACAATGTAAATTATTTTTATTTATTTTTTTTTTTTTTGCTCTTCTGTGTATCAGCATATTGGTTTGTTCCTTTGACCAAGACATTGTAATCATTTACTGAAATTCAAAGGGCATGTACACTGAATCAACAACAAAAAGTCAGAAAATAATAAAATTAACAGCACTATCAAACCTCCGGGCACATGTTTTGTGTCAAACCGGTGTTATCAGTGTCTTGACAGCCAAAAACTTGTAGAAAAATAGAACGTGTTCTAACTTTCTTGCAAGGAATTATCTTCTTGGATGTCACATAATTTCTCTTTAAAACTCATTCAAGTAGGGTGTCTACACTATCCAATACAAGAGAATATGATACTTGCATTCAAGACTTGGATAGGTGTAGACGGGCTCTTACTTGAATAACAGTAGTATTACGCTAAATATGTATTTATATATAATATATTTTATCTGGATTTCTATTTTTAAAAATGCCTGAACAAAGAATTCTGTTTTACCTATATTGTCATGCATGAAAAAACATCATGTGTAGTGTATTTTGCATGGAGATAAAAAAACTAATAGAAGTTTGAAGATTTATATATGAATCATGAGAATGTAAAATCGGTAGACCATAGATGATTTATACACTTTAACGATGTCTGCTACTTCAGGTGTTTAATAGTTTATAAAATAATATATTCATCTCTACTATATCTTCAAAAAGATTTCAATACGGTTAAATAGAAAGAGAAATTGATAAAAAGATGTATTCAAGATACATGCAATATGACTTATTACGATGATTACATGAACTCCAATGACAACATGTGATGCAATTTTGATCGTCTGCATTATCTACAAATATACTCGTATTTTAAAATATAGTTCATGTAATAAATGCCTTGGCATGAACAGAAAGTTTTTTGAGCTTCCTAAAGCCGTAAAATTTATTGCTTGTAATTTATAATGTCAATGAACTG